TGCATTTATCACAAAATATATTGCAGAAATGCAAATTATTGCAATATTCATATTTCCCGATATCCCTTACTGACACTGTGTATTACTGTAGTGTTTTTAAATCAGCCTGTACTGTACAGAGAAATAAAAAGGTGAAGGTGACCTGCGCTTCAGATAAACAAACCTGCTGCTCAAGAGACGTGATTTGTTATATAACAGCAGAAATAGATCAAATCAATAACTTTAGTGTGTCCAGGACACTCATAATTGCGGCTGAAGTCATGGATGACCTCCGATATTCAGTGAAGGACACAAAGCAGCAAGTGTTTCCACTTCATCCAAGGTGACTTACAAATGAGCGAATCATTCCGCACTGCCATAATACATTTATTAACAGTACAGCACAGACGCTGGAGAATTAACGTGCGCGTGTGTGTGTGTGTGTTTCCACTATACTGCCCTACAGTCATTCACAGTGTGCAGAACACATGCAATCCTCCAAATCACCAGCACACAACAAATTAATAACTCTAAACACACACATTTACTTCTGAACATTACTAGTATTTTACAATTACAAATAAATAGTGAAAAAACATGACTGCTTGATCTGATAGACTAATAATTATTATAAATAATAATATAATAGACTAATAAATGATCTGCAATAATCATTGACAATATATATATATAAGTAGGTCCAGCTGTGTCTGCACACATACTGCACGCTCATACTGTACTATAATCACGAATCTCTCGAAATATGACACTATTATTATCACAAAGCTCTTGTGTAATGAGCAGAACAGCATGATATGAAGATATTAAAACATTAGCCTGATGATTTACTGTGAATCTGCTTTGGAACAGTCTCTGAACATCATGTTCACTCTCTCATGATGACTTCTTTAGCGTATAAATGTTTAATAAAGAACAGGAGAACGTTCTGTGAATGTGATATACTGTGTTATATACGTGTGTGTGTGTGTGTTATGGTGTGAGTCTGGTCTCACGTGTGTGTGTGTGAATGAAAGAACGCACGGATGAGTGACGGCTGTCAGAATCAGAAGAGTCGAATCTTTGACCGCGACTCGCTCGAAGGAGCCTGATGCTCGTACATGTCATGTTTACTGAGGCCTCCTCGAAGGAGCTGAGCACCAGATGCCTGTAGCAGACCTTCATCATCATCATCATCTTCTTCGTCATCACACTCACCTCTTTCAGCTCCTTCGCCACATCCTTCAGGTCTCCTAAGATGTTCTCCAGATCCTCCACGATGCTCCTGATCTGCCGCTTCACTTTAACTTTACTCACGCCTGCGTCCGGTTCCGCCGCGCTGCTGGACATCCTCCGAAGCGGCCGGGCGGGTCACGGGCGAGCGGCGCGTTTCCTCGCGGGCATCGCACATGATAGCAATAAAAACAGTCTTCGCATGTTTCCTCGCAGATGCAGAAGAATCTCGAGCAGTGCGTCCCGGTGAACTCGCGCATGCGCAGCGCCGACACACACACTGATGCTGCTGCCGAGTCCTGGAGGAGAGCAGCGCTCAATCCCAACCGAAAACACTGTTCTGAGATCAGCTGAATTCTGGAGGAGGCCAGCGCGTATCTGTTACTCACACCGAAAACACTGTTCTGAGATCAGCTGGATCTTGAGGAGACCAGCGCTCAACACTCACACCGAAAACACTGTTCTGAGATCAGCTGAATTCTGGAGGAGGCCAGCGCGTATCTGTTACTCACACCGAAAACACTGTTCTGAGATCAGCTGAATTCTGGAGGAGACCAGCGCTCAACACTCACACCGAAAACACTGTTCTGAGATCAGCTGGATTCTGGAGGAGGCCAGCGCGTATCTGTTACTTAAACCAAAAACACTGTTCTGAGATCAGCTGGATCTTGAGGAGACCAGCGCTCAACACTCACACCGAAAACACTGTTCTGAGATCAGCTGAATTCTGGAGGAGGCCAGCGCATATCTGTTAATCACACCGAAAACACTGTTCTGAGATCAGCTGAATTCTGGAGGAGACCAGCGCTCAACACTCACACCGAAAACACTGTTCTGAGATCAGCTGAATTCTGGAGGAGGCCAGCGCATATCTGTTAATCACACCGAAAACACTGTTCTGAGATCAGCTGAATTCTGGAGGAGGCCTGTGCGTATCTGTTACTCACACCGAAAACACTGTTCTGAGATCAGCTGAATGATGATTCTTGGGAGAAGCACAGCTTTTATATTTCAAAAGAGCGCTGTTCTGAGATCAGCTGAATCCTGGAGACTAGCGTTCAGCCGTTCCTCACACCGACAGCACTGTTCTGAGGTCAGTTAAATCACGGATGACTGACATTAGGGTAAAGTTGATTGTATATTCACTCATGGACGGATCCCTTCTTAATATAATTTCAGAAAATGTTCTAAAAGATGGGATCATAGTAGCAGCCAGCAGCACTGTTCACGGTCAGTTACATAGCGCTAATGTTGTTTTGAAGTCATAACATTACTTGGTTAAATGCGATTTCAGACTGATGTTGTGCTCGTGAAAATGAATCTAAATTAGCCTTTAAAAATTCTGCTTTACTATCTTACTGAACCCCAACGTGTGCATTTTAACCAACCAGACACACTGTTTACCACACTCTATCATTTCTGGTCTATGCGGCTTTGGATTGACTGAAATGTCCTTAGAGGGCGGAGTTTTGTAGTATGACATCCAATCAAGGGGTGCGTTTCCGAAAACCATCATTAACCAACTAAGGTCGCAAGTTGCATCATTACAAACATAGCTTTTTGACTTGGCATTTCCCAAATCCGTCATTCCAGCGAACGTTCGCAAACTGCATCGCAAACTCGTGCACTTGCAACTACACCTCTGGAGCTGTAGTTAGAAACATAGTTCCTGGCTGTGTTCTATTCCCAGTTATCCCCCCTATGCCCTATTCATTTACAACATTCTGACATTTAAACATTTAAGATAACGCATTAAGCTCGTCTCTCTCAGCTGTAATTTGCATTCAAAGTGTTTCTACAGTTCAGTTTTAGCGATCTTCATGTAATAATTGCGCTTTCTTCGCAGTGCACTTTAAAAACACTGATGTCATTTTGAACACAGCCTCATGACGAAAGCTATAGCTGACCTGTTGTTTAAAAGCGGAGGTTATGTTACGTCTCCAAAGCTTATTAAAACAAACACACAGCATACGCTAATGCTTTAATGTATAGTGAGTTATTTATCAAGTATCTGTACTGGATATGACGTGGGCCTGCTGTTAGAACATTTCTGCAGTGTTTACATGTGTTAAACTGTAAAAGTAGACTTTTCAAAAAATAAAATAAAATAACAATATCCTGCCTAATAATGATCATCATCATTAATATTATTATTAAAGTGGGATTTTTTTCATTTCCCAATAAATAATAAATATTAAATGTCATTTCTTAATAAATCGCCTCATTATTTATTTAATTATATGATTTGTATATGAGATTAGAAGGCATGCTAGCTTCTGTAAGAGATTTTATGATAATGTAGAGTAGAAAATGGAAGATTCTTAATGATATTAGTAAAGGAAACACAGGCCCTGTATGTGCTGTTTACAGTTAATATGGAGAGCGAGTGCATGCTTTTACCAAAACTAATATTAATTGTATTTTAAATGTGTGTGTGTGTAAATCAATATCATCTGCACAAATAAATGATGAGGTTCTTCTGTACAGAAGCTGGTCCTCCACCCGTTTAGAGCATCATTATTGGCGTTATACATTATAATGTGGTTCAAGCGATGGATCTGCCACAGAGAAACTAGGGGTTTTGGGAAACACTCGTCACTACATCACTCTTTTCACAAACGATGCATCGTGCTATGATAGTTCAGCCGCAAGTTACGTTGTTGTTTGGGAAACGCAGCCCATAACGACACTAGATATATTAATATGTAATAACAGCGCTGGCTGCTAGCTCTCTGGTTGCCCACTGAAGCTAAGCAGGGCCGTGCCCGGTCAGTACCTGGATGGGAGACCAAATATAATGAAAGCTAGGATGCTGCCGGAAGTGGTGTTAGTGAGGTCAGCAGGGGGCGCTCAGCCTGTGTGGGTCCTAACGCCCCTGTATAGTGACGGGGACTCTATAGTGAGCTCGGTGTCTTTCGGATGAGACGTTAAACCGAGGTCCTGACTCTCTGTGCTCATTAATAATCCTTGGATAAAGAGTAGGGGGTTTCCCCCCCGGCATCCTGGCCTCTGTCCATCATGGCCTCCTAACCCTCCCCATATCATAATTGGCTTCATCACTCTGTCTCCTCTTCACCAATCAGCAGGTGTGTGGTGTGCGGTCTGGAGCGAAATGGCTGCCATCACGTCATCCAGATGGACGCTGCACACTGGTGCTGGATGAGGAGATTCTCCCCTTTGTGTAAAGTGCTTTGAGTGCCTAGAAAAGCGCTATATAAATGTAAGGAATTATTATTATTATTATGTCTAACAATGTTTTATTTAAATCACTTTAATTGTTCTAGTTGTAATTGTTTATAATATAATGAAATGATAACAAAAATACCAATATTGTTGCTGTAATATATCATTTTAATGCAAAAATAAAGTAAAATTCATACACATAATTTACTTTAATAATAAAATATAAAAAGTTCAATTTGACCTGTGATTTTATTGTCGTATTTGATTATTCATAATAAACTTGATTTTAATTTTTACACACAGTTAGCATTTTAAATGTATTTATTTAATCAATGCGCTGTAAAATATGACTAAATAGATTATTGTTGAATTTAATCGTAAAAAATATTTTGTTTCAACAGCAGATTTCACTAAACATATTACACACTGACAATGTAAAACAGCAGCACGATCTAAGCATGATATGTTATATCTGTTTTAGCTTTAAGAGATATATTAGATGTGTGCATGAGTAACACACACTGCTGGAACACATGTAAAGGAGACTTCGATGCTGCTGTTGTTCGGTGGGGTGAAGACGCGCGCCTCTGATTGGCTGCTGCTCGGTGACGTCAGCGCGCCATTCGCGGAAGTGGGCCAAAAGTCACGGCTGAGTGTTTCTTTCGCAGCACAGTTTGACACCGAGCGGTCCTGCGAACACATTTCACTCATAATCATTAATTTCACTGTCATCTCATCATGTCTGTGCCTTTGAGATTCGACGGCAAGGTGGTGCTGGTGACCGGAGCAGGCGGAGGTCAGTTCTTCATCACCGAACTCATGCTTCTCCGCAAACATTACGGCGTGTTATTGTTTATGAATAGAGTTATGTGTGTTTATTAGTGCACACACTGACAGTGTTCATGCAGTGGATATTAATGCATCGCTCTGAGCAGGGTTTATTATGGAGAACAATAATAATAATACACCTTAAACTTCTGCATTATCATCTCAGTTTTAGAGTTAATGCAGATGCATGATTAATATACTGCTTAATATTTATAAATGCATCATTTGTGGTTGGCGTATTCAACATTAAAGGCCTGTTTGAGTCATTCACAGAGCAGTTTTAGCCACTGAAGCAGCTTTTCTGTGGGGATCAAAGTTCAGAGATAAGGCTGATATGAATCATTTTCGTGCTTCTGCTTATATAAGACATGGTGTGTTTAACACACTCTGATGCTGATCGTGTTAATAAGTGTGTGTGTTTGTGTGCAGGTTTGGGCAGGGAATACGCGCTGGCGTTCGGGCAGAGAGGAGCCGCTGTCATCGGTGACCGAGTCGCTATTTGATTCACTTCAAATGAGTCGCCGCTCACGATTCATTCTCTAAATCTGTGTGCTGTGTTGTCTGTTGGCAGTCAATGATCTGGGTGGAGATATTAAAGGTGGAGGCAAGAGCTCAGCGGCTGCTGATAAAGTGGTGGAGGAGATCAGAGCTGCAGGAGGGAAGGCTGTGGCCAACTATGGTAATCGATTCCTCGAGGAGAATCATATCTGTGGTTCATATGACTCACAAGATGCTGATGATCAGAGTTCTGTGTCTTCATCTCTCAGATTCAGTGGAGGATGGAGAGAAGCTCATCCAGACGGCGCTGGATGCGTTCGGAAGAATAGGTGCAGTTTATAAACGTGCATAATCATAACGTAATATCTGGAGTCAGAATCTGGGAAGTCTAGAAGAGATGCAGCAGATACTCACGTCAATAGAGCCATATTTCTGTGACATTGTACTATAATAATTCATATTCCTACATTACTGTGAGGGTTAGGGTAGAGGTAGACGTTATTAAAATACAATTTAATGTGTATTTTAATAAATAACATGAATAACACTAAGTATAATTACAGTTTTTACATTACTGTAAGGGTTAAATGTAGGGGTAAATGTTAATAAAATACAATGTAATGGGTATTTTTATAATTAACATGAATAAAACTGAGTATAATTACAGTTTTTACATTACTGTAAGGGTTGGGGTAGGGGTAAATGTTAATAAAATACAATGTAATGGGTATTTTTATAAATAACATGAATAAAACTGAGTATAATTACAGTTTTTACAGTACTGTAAGGGTTAAATGTAGGGGTAAATGTTAATAAAATACAATGTAATGGGTATTTTAATGAATAATACTCAGTATAATTACTGTTTTTTTCATTACTGTGAGGGTTGGGTAAATAATATATTAATAAATTATATAAAGGAAATTATATAAATCATTTTTTTTTACTTCTGGCTGCAGCTGTATCCCTTCTAGTAATAATTGTCACAAGCTGACTCTCTCATTCATTCTGTACCTTTTAAAAAGTCCCAGTTAAAGCTTTGGTTAAACCAGGGCAACTAGTAAAGAAGAGGAAAACAAATTAAAATGCCATGAAGCATTGCCAGTGACACGACACAAACATAAAGCTTCCTTTAAAGCTGTTCATTTGATCTATAATATATTTAAATATGTTGAATTCATGAAAAAAATATTATATTTTATATTTAAAGATGTTAATAAATATAAATATAATATTTAAAGATGTTGTCCAAATATGCACTTATATCAGTATATTGAAAGATTAGAGAAACCTGATTGCATCATTTGCAGCTTATCAATGATGTGGGCGGAGCTAAATATGACACTTTGCTCACTGTTACTGTGATTGGTGAATTGTATGCATGGCATCATGGGTAGTGTAGTTTTTCACCACTAATCCAGCTAATTAAACAATGACCCTGAACCACAAAACCAATCATATGTCACTCTGGTATGTTTGTGCAAATCGGTAAACAATCATTAGCTGACAAAAATCATCAGAAAGAATATTAATAGAAAATCTTCCTTGAAGACATTTTGTAAATTTCCTTCCATATATATATATATATCAAAACCAAATTTTATAATAAGTAATATGCATTGCTAGGAATGTGACCACTTTAAAGATGATTTTCTCAGAATTTAGATTTGCTTTAATCCTCAGTTTCTCTATATTTTAATATTGTTATGTCTCAGCCAAATATTGTCCTATTCTAACAGCCAAATCAATGAAATGCTTATTATAAGCTTTTCGGTGACGTGTTAATCTAAATCTTTGTGGTCCACAGTCATAAATGTTTAAAACAAGCAGAATTATTGTGAACATACGTTTTAGAAAACAGCAGAAGCAATCGATCTATCAGTTATTGATAATAATCAGTTTCCTTATAGAGGGCGAGTGGAGTTCATAGTTCCAGAAGCAGCAGATGTGTTGTATAGTTAGGGTGCAAACACAATGCTAAATGTATGATCTGTGTTGTTTTTCAGACGTGGTGGTGAATAACGCTGGGTAAGTGGATTTACAGTTGAGGGCAGAATTATTCCCTTTCCTCTGTATTATTTATTATTATTTATTTGTATATTTCTCACGTGATGTTTAACAGAGCAAGGACATTTACAGTGTATTTCCTACAATTTTCTTTCTTACAGGGAACGCCCTATTTCTTCTGGTTTGACTGGAATAAAAACAGCTTTTATGTTTGTAATTTCAATATTATTAGCCCCCTTCACAATGTTTTGGCCATTGTCTACAGAACAAACCACCAATTACTTGCCTAATTAACCTAATTAAGCCTTTAAATCTCACTTAAAGCTGAATACTCGAGTCTTGAAGAATATCTAGTCTAATATGGTAAAGGGAAAAGAAATCCGTTATTCGAAATTAGATGTTAAAACTATTGTGTATAAATGTGTTGGAAAAACTTCTCTCCATTGAACAGCACTTGGGGAATATTATTAAAAGCTTTTAAATGTTATAGGAGTGTGAATAATTCTGACTTCAGCTGTGTGTGTGTTTTGTGCGGGTGATGGTGTGCTGTACTGAAGGATTCTGCGTGATCGCTCATTCGCGCGCACCAGTGATGTGGACTGGGGTATGTACTGACCTGAGATCAGCTGAGAGCGCAGGTGTGTGTGAGCTGCTGTGTGACCGTGAGTCTGCTGTGTTTCAGACCTGATTCAGCGTGTTCATCTCAGAGGATCGTTCCTCGTCACCAGAGCCGCCTGGAACCACATGAAGCAGCAGAAGTTCGGCAGGTGTGGAGACCTACAGCACTCACCTGAACACACAAACACAACAGAACACACATGAACACCTGTACAGATGAACACCTGAACACGCATCAAAACCTGAACACCCAAACACATGCCCACATGAACACCCAAACAGATGAGCACCCAACACATGTACACCTGAACACCCGAATACACAAACACATGAACAGATGAACACCCAAACACATGAACACCCAAACACATGAACACCCAAACATATGAACACCCAAACATATTGTTTGAACAATTGAACAGATAAACACATAAACAGATGAACACTCGAACATATGAACACCTGAATAGATGAACATAGGAACCGCTAAACACCCAAGCACATGAACAACCGAAGAAGCAAACAGATAAACACCTGAACATATGAACACCTGGACATCCGAACACCTGAACACCCATACATATGAACACCTGAACATCCGAACACATGAACAGCCATACATATAAACACCTAGACTTGTCCATTTGAACACATAAACACATGAACAGATGAACACCCAACCAGATGAACACATAAATACGTGAACAGATGAACATCTGATCCAATAACCAACCGAATAGATGAACTCACAAGCACATGAACACCCATACATACAAACACCTGAATATCCGAACACATGAACACCCATACATATGAACACCTGAACTTGTCCATTTGCACACATGAACAGATGAACACCCAACCAGATTAAAAACTGAACAGATGAACACTCAAACAGATAAACACCCAAACACGTGAACAGATGAACACCCAAACAGATGAACACCTAAACCGATGAACAACCGAACAGATGAATACACAAGCACAAGAACACCTCAACAACCAAACAGATAAACAGATAAACACCCAATCACATGAACGACCGAAGAAGCAAACAAATGAACACATGAACACCCATACATATGAACACCTGAACATCCGAACACATAAACACCCATACATATGAACACCTGAACATCAGAACACATGAACACCCATACATATGAACATCTGAACATCCGAACACATGAACACCCAAACATATGAACACCTGAACATCAGAACACATAAACACCCATACATATGAACATCTGAACATCCGAACACATGAACACCCATACATATGAACACCTGAACATCAGAACACATGAACACCCTTACATATGAACACCTGAACATCCGAACACATGAACACCCATACATATGAACATCAGAACACATGAACACCCATACATATGAACATCTGAACATCCGAACACATGAACACCCTTACATATGAACACCTGAACATCAGAACACATAAACACCCATACATATGAACATCTGAACACATGAACACCCATACATATGAACACCTGAACATCCGAACACATGAACACCCTTACATATGAACACCTGAACATCAGAACACATAAACACCCATACATATGAACATCTGAACACATGAACACCCATACATATGAACATATGAACATCAGAACACATGAACACCCATACATATGAACATCTGAACATCAGAACACATGAACACCCTTACATATGAACACCTGAACATCAGAACACATGAACACCCTTACATATGAACACCTGAACATCCGAACACATAAACACCCGTACATATGAACACCTGAACATCAGAACACATGAACACCCATACAAATGAACATCTGAACATCCGAACACATGAACACCCATACATATGAACATCTGAACAGCCGAACACATGAACACCAATACATATGAACACCTGAAAATCTGAACACATGAACACCCATACATATGAACACCTAAACATGCGAACACATGAACACCCAAACATATGAACACCTGAACATCAGAACACATGAACACCCATACATATGAACACCTGAACATCAGAACACATGAACACCTAAACATGCGAACACATGAACACCCAAACATTTGAACACCTGAACATCCGAACACATGTACACCCATACATATGAACATCAGAACACATGAACACCCATACATATGAACATCAGAACACATGAACACCCATACATATGAACACCTGAACATCCGAACACATGAACACCCATACATATGAACACCTGAACATCAGAACACATGAACACCCATACATATGAACACCTGAACATCAGAACACATGAACACCCATACATATGAACACCCAAACATATGAACACCTGAACATCAGAACACATGAACACCCATACATATGAACACCCATACATATGAACACCTGAACATCAGAACACATGAACACCCATACATATGAACACCCATACATTTGAACACCTGAACATCAGAACACATGAACACCCATACATATGAACACCTGAACATCAGAACACATGAACACCCATACATATGAACACCTAAACATGCGAACACATGAACACCCAAACATATGAACACCTGAACATCAGAACACATGAACACCCATACATATGAACACCCATACATTTGAACACCTGAACATCCGAACACATGTACACCCATACATATGAACATCAGAACACATGAACACCCATACATATGAACATCAGAACACATAAACACCCATACATATGAACACCTGAACATCCGAACACATGAACACCCATACATATGAACACCCATACATATGAACACCTGAACATCCGAACAAATGAACACCAATACATATGAACACCTAAACATCCGAACACATGAACACCCATACAGATGAACACCCGAACACTTGAACACCTGAACTTGTCCATTTGAACACATAAACATGTGAACAGATGAACACCTGAACCGATGAACAACCGAATAGATGAACTCACAAGCACATGAACACCTGAACAATCAAACTGATGAACAAATAAACAAATGAACAGCCATACATATGAACACCTGAACATCCGAACACATGAACACCCATACATATGAACACCTAAACTTGTCAATTTAAACGCATAAACACATGAACAGATGAACACCCAACCAGATGATCACTCAAACAGATGAACACCTGAACCGATAAACAACCGAACAGATGAACACACAAGCATATGAACACCTGAACAACCAAACAGATTAACACACGAACAACCGAATAGATGAACACACAAGCATATGAACACATGAACACACAAACATGTGAACAAATGAACAACCGAACAGATGAACACCCAAACAGATGATGACCTAAACAATCAAACACATGAACACCAGAACAGATGAACACATGAACAGCAGTATAAGTGTGGTCGGCGTTGTTTTTGGTGATTGTTAAGTGTCTGTAACAGGATCTGTTCTGCTGTGTTTATGGTACCTGCAGCAGTGTTAAGTGTGCCGTGTGTTTCAGGATCATCATGACCTCGTCCGCCGCAGGGATTTATGGGAACTTCGGGCAGGCCAACTACAGCGCGGCGAAGCTGGGTCTGCTGGGTCTGGCAAACACACTGGCCATCGAAGGACAGAAGTACAACATTCACTGCAACACCATCGCCCCCACTGCAGGGTCCAGACTCACCGAGACCGTCATGCCTCCAGGTGTGTGTGTGTGTGTGTGTGTGTGAGAGAGAGAGAAAGTGAAAGTGTGTGTGTGTGTGTATATGTGAGCTGTATGTAAAATAGTGTGTGTGTGTTCTCCATCAGATCTGGTCCAGTCTCTGAAGGCGGAGTACGTGGCGCCGCTGGTGCTCTGGCTCTGTCATGAGTCCTGCCAGGAGAACAGCGGCCTGTTTGAGGTACACACACACACACACACACACACACACACACATTTATTTAATCATTGATATCGCAGCTGTTTCCCATGATCCTCTGCTTGTGTTTCAGGTCGGCGCTGGCTGGATCGGCAAATGTGAGTTCAGTTTGTGTGAATATGACGATCTCTGTGGGAGAAGAGCACACACACACACACACACACACACACACACACACACACACACACACAGAGAGCTTATATAATGAGTGCATGAATAAACACTGACTTAATATTCACATTACAGTCAAATATATATATAGATGAAGTCGTGTGTGTGTGTGTGTGTGTGTTATGTAATGGTGTTAGTGCGCTGGGAGAGGAGTCTGGGTCGTATCGTCCGTCAGAAGAGCGAGTGTGTGACGCCGGAGGCTGTGAGAGACGCCTGGAGAGACATCTGTGACTTCACTAATGCTACTAAACCTGCTAGCATACAGGGTAACACACACACACATGTTTGTTTTTGTGAAAAGTGGGGACATTACATAGGTTTCCATTCATTTTATACTGACCAAACCGTATATTGTATTGCCCTCACCCCACCCCAAAACCCAACCATTACAGGAGTCAGTGTGCAGCTTTACTCTCTGATTAAACTCATCCTGTAGGATTTATAAGCATTTTGAAATGAGGACGTCACCAATGTCCCCATATTTCACCTCCTTTTGTGATACCTGTGTCATACCCATGTCATTATACAGATTTGTGTCCTGATACAAAAACACGTACACACACACATACAATACATACACATTATTTGCACACACACACCTACATGATGAGGGTTTCACACACACACACACACACACACAGTATACAATACTGTTACACACAATACATAAACATTACACAAACACGCACATTAGACAATACAAACACACTGTACATACATACACAAACACACACACACCACACAGTAAATATATATTTTACACACTCAAACTACACAATACAATCACACACATTACATACATATAACACACACACACACAATACACACCTGCGTGTGTGCACAGTACTTGCACTACATACACACAAGGTCATCAGGTTTAGTGTGTGTTTCATATTAAAACACTGTGTGTGTGTGTGTTTGTGTGTGTGTGTTTGTGTGTGTTTGTGTGTGTGTGTTTGTGTGTGTGTGTGTGTGTGTTGTAGAGTCGCTGCAGACGCTGGTGGAGGTTTTGTCCAGAGTGGAGGACGAGAGAAAGATTGGAGCAAACCCAACAGCAGTCGCAACAAACCCTGTGAGAAAACACACACACACACACACACACACACACACACACACACACACACTGCAGAACACGCTTTACACACAACACACACTGCTGAAATCCAGACTGGTCCACTAGAGGAGCGTCACTGAAGCTCTGATATTCTGAAAAACACAACAACATCACATTACTTTGTGCTACAACACACACACACACACACACACACACACACACACACACACACACACACACGCACACACACACAGCTCTCTGTGTGATGAAATGCAGTCTCTGATAATCTCTGCTGATCTTCAGTAAATGTGCTCATCCTTTGATGTGTGTGTGTGTGTGTGTGTGTGTGTATGTATGTCTGTCTCTGCGTTTGACTCTCTCTCTCTCTCTCTTTCTCTCTCTCTCTGTGTGTGTGTGTGTGTGTCAGGCGCAGGCCATCGGGCATGTGCTGCCGGACATGACGTTCACACACACACACATGAACTGTATCCTGTACGCTCTGGGAGTGGGCGTGTCCAGCAGAGACCCTCAGCAGCTGCAGTTCCTCTATGAGGGACACACACACTTCTCCTGCCTGCCCACGTTTGGGGTGATCCCGGCGCAGGGGGCGCTGCTGGGGCTGGGGAGCATCCCGGGACTCGACATAGACTTCACCAGGGTGAGCAAACACCAGAGTCTGTGTGTGTGTGTGTGTGTGTGTGACAGAGCTTGACCTCCGTATGTCTCTGTGAGTGTGTATCACCCTATGTGTGTTTGTTTGTCTGTATGCGTGTGTGCGTATGTGTGTGTATCCATCCATCCATGTATGTGTGTGTTCCTCTGTATGCATGTATCTGTGTGTGTGTGCGTCCTTCTGTATGCATGTGTGTCTGTGTGTGTGTGTTTGTGTGTGTCTGCGTCCCTCTTTATGCATGTTTCTGTGTGTTTGTGTGTGTGACCCTCTGTATGTGTATGTGTGTGTTTGTGTGTGTGTGCGCGTCCCTTTTTATGCATGTTTCTGTGTGTGTGTGTGTGTGTGTGTGTGTGTTTGACCCTCTGTATGTGTTTGTGCTTCTGTATGCATGTAACTGTGTGTGTGTGTGTGTGTGTGTGTGTGTGCGCGTGCATTCCTCTTTATGCATGTGTGTGACACTGTATGTATGTGTATGTGTTTGTTTGTGACCCTCTGTGTATGTGTGTTGCACGTGTGTGTAAGCATGTGTGGGTGAAAGAGAGAGAGAGTTTGTGACTCTCTGTATGTGTGTGTGTGTGTGTGTGTGACCCTTAGTATATATATCTATATATATATATATATATATGTGTGTGTGTGTGTGTGTGTGAGAGAGTGTGTGTGAGACTGTATGCGTTGGACCCTTTATATGTGTGTATGTTTGTGTGTGTGTGTGTGAGACCCTCATCATGTATGTGTGTGTGTGTGTGTGTGTGTTTCAGCTGCTGCATGGAGAGCAGTACCTGGAGCTGTACAAGCCTCTGCCCACATCAGGTCAGGAACTCAACCAATGACATGCAGAGTGTGTGTGTGTGTGTGTGTGTGTGTGTGTGTGTGTGTGTGTGTGTGTGTGTTTACAGGGTTCCCGCGGGTCCTTAAAAAGTCTTAAATTAAAATCCGGGAAATTAAGGTCTTAAATTGTCTTAAATTTGACCGTACAGTGGCTGTAGGTATTAAATGTTCAGCCGGTCTGCTTAATGACGATAGGGAAGCACAGTGGTCCACCGTGAGACATCTAATAGTTGATTAGTTCAGTATGTGAAGCAGGAGAGAAATGACAGTCTCTGTGATGTATTAGCTTATTACGGTAGGTCGGGTACAGAGCACAGACGTCGGTCTGCACCTGCGTGCGGTCATTACGCGGTTGTTGATGTGAGGTTCAAAATGCAAAGATGGGAGAATGTGAATTTAACGACGTGGCAAAGAGGCAATGTGTAAATTCAGCAAAAAGACCTTTTCGTTGAGACCATGGGGCTCAAAGTCATCGAGTATCACATGAAAGGAGGAAAGCAGCAGCGGGACGTGGCAGCAGCTAGTTGTTTGCAGCTCGACCTAATAATGTTGCTAGTTCAGACTAGAGCTGAAGATCTTTGCTGGGTTCGGACTTTATTTCTATCATTTTAGACGGGGTCGTGCCGGGCTTGCGCAGTAAATGAGCAGTCATGTGATGCATTTCGATTAGCGCGAGGAAGTAATCAAATTGTTTGTTACAACATTGAAATCCATCCCTGCAAAGGTGAACCAAATGATGACGGAGATGTCAAGAAGAGCGAGTTATGTCAGCGGTCAGGCCAGCCGCCTGTTTAAAGGTTCAGGACACCCCGGAGAACTTTTTTTAATATATATTAACAGATGTGTGTGTGTTGAGCATCAGTTAAGACACTGTTAGCACCTGTCAGCTGTAATTGTGGGGAAATCTGGATAATTTTGAGCTTTTGTCTGCTGATTTCAGCTTCCGGGTTTAAAATGATTTTTGTGGCGGATCAAAATCGGCGACGTAGCGCAGTACTGCAAGTGCAATGATGACGCGTCGGTTTCTCATTATTATTCATAGCGGAGTTTCCTTATCCTATGAGAAGAGCCGGCTGCTTAATTATTCATGAGACCTGCCAGAGTCAAGCCCGAGCTGAGAGACACGGACCCAGTATTTAGCCATTCATGTAGGCTCATATGCGTTTGTTTCCATGATCCACGGGGTTTGTTGCATGTTTTCCCCCGCGATCTTGTCAGGGTCGATCATACAGCAAAGCTGTGTGTGTGCTGCAAGCATTTTTGTCGGGAGAGCAGCACGAGAATTAGAGAATGGCGGACGCTGACTTTTATCAGGAGTTCGTTCACATTCAGACACATCACTGTGCTGCTGTGTTCACCTAAATCCTCCAGATTACCAGCAGGGCTAAGGGTTAAAATAGACGGGTCAGGAGAGCTGCTGCACTGAGTCTGCTGGATACGGGGATTGAGGGAGAAGTCCTCATTTATAGTGTTTACCTGAACACACATCTTTATAATGATATAAATTGTGGTTGTGTGTATATGAAATTACGAATAACAAATGTAGCAGGGCATTACATCACTGTTCAGTTCTTTGCATTTTAACTTTGTAAACTATAAACTCATGCGTCTCCTCACGGTTTGTGTCTCAATTTGTGAGCTAACTGACATCAACAGTTGTTTGCTCCCCTTCTCCCCTGCTGGCCACGCCCACTCCTGCCCGATGCTTGGATCCGGATCAGTAGTGCATCCCGGCCAGCAGTAACAGCAGAGAAAGGGTGTTCAGTGCTGCTCAGTGAGCGCAGGACTGCACTAAAGCCATTCACAGTGGATTTAATAATGTTCCACCACAAAACACACAGCCTAATCTTGATGAGGAAAGAATTTCAAATTATAACTAAATATTAATAAAATCACAGTGTAGTCAGAGTATACAGGCTAATGCTGGCATTATTCTTTCATTATTCAGCTTCACCATCGCCTTATTGTGAAGAGAAGTGGCAAAACAAATCCCAGAGCCTTTATCTTAATTTCTTTATTGCCAAATATCCATCATCATTTATCATTTATTTTAATTCATTTGCTAGAAAGACTTATTTTTATTGGTGCGTTGGCCAATTTAAAGGTTAAGTGTGTGTACCCAGGCCTATTTAGAGTGTTGAGATGTTAAGATGTTACAGGGGGCTTATTTTATTCTTATGTTCCAGCTTGACCTGTAGTCTGTGTTATGAATATGTAATGTTAACGCATATAAACAACTCATTCATGAAAAAAGACAATAGAGCTGTGTGCATGTGCACATTTGGATAATGTCGGGCTTTAACGGGTTCGGGCTTTTATAAAGCTGTCAATCAAAATGTACCGGTCAGGTTCGGGCTCTATCGGGCCTAGCTTTCATAGCCTGATCACAGCTCTAGTTCAGACACCCCTCACAGACAGCTATAACAGTTTCATTTCACCACCAGACACCCAAAAGACAGGTCCTGCAGGTTATCCATACTGTGACGAGGCACAATTCATTTAAATCTAACGAAAACATTCAAATGAGTAGCCTATTCCAAAGAGATTATATAATTTTTAGGTCTTAAATTATATTTGTTGAGGTCTTAAAAAGCATTAAATTTTACTTTTAAAATGGTGCAACAACCCTGTGTTTGTGTGTGTTGCTGAAGCCTCTCTCTCTGCTCAGGTACTCTGACGTCTCGAGCCACAGTGGCGGATGTGCTGGATAAAGGCTCCGGGATGCTGATCCTGCTGGATGGTAACACACACACACACACACACACACACGTCAAAGACAACACAACATTACTGTGCATGATTTAAGGAAAAACACACCTCATTCTGACTCATTGTGTGTGTGTGTGTTTCAGTGCACACGTACAGTGAGCAGGAGCTGCTGTGTTATAACCAGTTCTCGGTGTTCATCGTGGGCTCTGGAGGATTCGGAGGGAAGCGAGTGTCCCAGAAGGCCGTGGTGAGCTGAACGCCTCCATCAGCTGCGTCTGCACCGCTCCATTACTGTAGTTTACCGTGTTCTTACCTGTTCCAGGCTCCAGCTGCTCCTCCAGACAGACCTGCAGACGCTGTGGTGGTGGAGGAGACATCTAGAGATCAGGTCAGCAGACACACACACACACACACACACACACACACATCTGAGAGAGGAGATAAACAACACATACACACAGTTAAAGTCCGATACTGGTGTACAGATGTGTGGAGTATTTATAAACAGCATCACAGACTCAACTGCACATTTACTGATGCCCCCCCCAATCTGATTATATTTGATAACAGGCAGGTGACAGAGTCAAAATATTCCCATCAATAAATGAAAGATATTTGTTCGTCATCAACGTGCTTTAAACAAAAACATGTGGCAGTTCTGAACACAACTCAAATAGTATGAAGTAGTAAAGGTATGATTACATTAAGCATGTTATCCACTTAAAGCCTGGATTTTGCCTACACAAATTTAAAAGCTTCCCAAATCCACATGCAGAGGTATAAATGTAAAACTTTGGTATCATTTTAAAGAAAACCCTTTGCATTTCCATAAAACGCTGTTGAAAGTGTTGAACTGTAAGGAGTTTAACTGGTTAAGTCACAAAGAATTGCATCTCATCCCTCCCCAAATCTCTTCTCAGTTTAATTTTCCTCACTACATGATTCTAGCACGTGGACTTGACTTGCTTTTGGACATTTTGTACATTTGTCAAAACAAAATGAAGGATATGGGAGTGCTAAAGGGCAAAAGAGCTTTGCAGTCACTTCTGCCATGCACACTGTGAGAGGAGGACGGTCCGTCTCTGCATGAACAATTGACTGAAACTGCTATTACACCTCTCACTAGTGAAATAAAAGAGACTGTACACTGTTTAGTGTAGAAATAAACAAACACTGCCTGAAATGTTCTATTTCATCAAAATGTTATGGGCAAACTTTGTTTGCAGCTAAAATTAAAATAGTTTTGAGCAAAAGAAGTTACTAAAAGGCCTGATGAATCAATATGAGACATAATAAATTCATAAAAACATGCATATGGCATGAAAAATGGGGGGGGGGTATTTTTTATTTGATAAAATACAATATTATACACATATAAAATGCTAAATAAACGTTTTAAACAAAAAAAATTACTTGTTTTTATTATTTAAACTTTTAATAAGGATCATTTTAAAAGTAGTTTTGGCACATCGGCGCCCCCTGTGTGTGGCGCCCCTATACACCGAATATACTGCACACCCCCTTTTTGCGCCACTGCACAGATTCATTCAGGTGAGAAACAACAGAAATAATCCAGCTGTTGATCATGCAGTTTACAGATGTGCTCTCTTATTATTTACCACATATACTGCACATAGACAATACATCAAGCATTCACTCATCAATATTCACCTGAGAGTCCTGAAGGAGTCCTGCAATTTCAGTAGCAAAAGCCACAGCAACATCACCCTGCAGCCTGAGAACCCCAAACCTGGTCACTGTTGGCAGGGGGCGCTCAACCTGCACTCTGTGTGTGTCCTAATGCCCCAGTATAGTGAATTGGACTCTATACTGTCAGTGTGCGCCGTCTTTCAGATGAGATGTTAAACCGAGCTCCTGCCTCTCTGTGCTCATTAATAACCCCATGGCACTTCTGGTAAAGAGTAGGGGTGTAACCACTGGCCAAACTACCCCCCCATCAGCCCTTACCCATCATGCCCCTCCCACCAGTCATCCCCATCCACTGATTGGCTCCATCACCGTCTCTCCACTCCACCTATAGCTGCTGTGTGGTGAAGCACTGGCGCTGCTGTCCTGTGGCTGCCGGAGCATCATCAGGTGGAGCTGCACACTGGTGGTGGTGTGGAGAAACGCATTGGGTATACGGCCATACAGGATACATGCGCTATATTAATACACACATTACAGGAATTACAGGAATTGACTTGCATGAACCCTGTATAAAGAATGATCATTATTCCTCATTTCTGAGCTCTGTGTGTGTGTGTGTAGGCTGCTCTGTACAGGCTGAGTGGAGACTGGAACCCGCTGCACATCGACCCCAACTTCGCTGCTATGGGAGGTGTGTGTGTGTGTGTGTGTGTGTGTGTTTTACAGCCATTTTCACACAATAGAAAGAATTCTGTTCTTACTCAGAGGTTGTGTAATATCAAGAAGCATCTTCTAGACACCACAGATATAGTGTTGTGTTCAGAGATAATGAAATGAAGAGAGTTTCTCCTTTAAACCAGCAGAATAATCTGACCATGAGGGAAGCAGAATACTCTTGATTTTCCTTTTGTCATCAGATTGTTCCGCTCCCCCAGTGTCAGATTATTCTGCTTGTTGTAAGGAGAAACTCTCTTCATTTAGTCTGCGTTTACACTGCGCTGTTCAAGTGACTCAACTCTGATTTCCTCCTCCAGTCATGTGGCACAGATATGATATGGCTCATGTATGTGTAAACAGGAATAAATCACATGGATTCTGATTGACTCAGATCCGATTCAGGCCTTGTTTATATGTGGGAATGTATCTGATATGAATCAGATCTGTGTCCTCGTGTCTGCAGTGAAGCAGGTACGAGAGAGAGAGAGAGAGAGAGAAACATCCACCATGTAAACAGTATAACCTATATTGAACTACTGCATACATCACAGCATAGACGTCACGTTAAAATGTCCACTGGATTAAAGGAAGAAGGCCACATGAGTGTTTCTGTCATGGATTATATTAAAGAGCCCCTGTTATGTGTGTTCGTGAGTGATCTTCATCAGTACCGCAGCTCTGAGTGAAGTCAAATATCCAGCTCAGGCTTAAATCTGAAAGTGCGCCGTGTTTAAAACTATTGATTCATCTATAGAAGAGTCGACTCAGTGGTTCAAATGAATCACCACTGAGTGAGTCTTTAGCCGTGTCAGTGTGACGTTGATATGGAACTCAAGCCCCGCCCATTTGTTGCACGCGCAGACCCGGGAAAATTAAAACCCCGCCCACAAAGACTGCAGAGAGAGGAAGACACACTGCAGCACATCCCGGCTGAGTCATGTCGCGCAGACGCTGAGCTCTGAAGTGTGAGTTAGTGTTATTCTCCAGACCCAAAAGCTGCTTTTCCACTCTCGTGCCAAACCGTTCTAAGAACACTTCGGTACGGTTACGGTTGTTTCTCCACTGAGCCTGGAACAGCGCGGCAAGATTACAAACCGTTCTCGGCCCGGAATTCTCAGCACGGTTAGACAACCGTGCTGAACTGTGCTGACAGATTCTGTGTTGACGTTGCGGCTCAGTTGCCAGGCTACCACAGCTGATCAGCAGAAGCGCGCTAGTCATCATCAGACATCCACAAGTAAACTACACTACATTTATTATATAAAAAGATGATCCAGGTCTAAACCATACAGCTGAAAAGGGTTTTAAAACCATAAAGCAGTCTCTGGTAGAGACATCAAATTTTTATGAAGATATTTTATTTATTAAAGTTATTATTTCATTGACGTGAATACAATTAACCATGTATAACATAATTACTAGCCCGTTTTCTAAAATCTTAGAAATAATAAAATAGCCTATTGTTTTTATTCGTGGCCAGAGTTTGATTAATTTGATTGTCAAGGTAATGCAATGAGATCTTTAATTCGCCTGACTGAATGTGTTTATCGCACGCAGCGCTGTATTTGATAGCACAAAACTCGCTCTGACCCGGTAGAACTTTACCAGCGACTACATGCACTGCTGAAAGACTTTTTTTTCCTGTTGCGCATCGAGTAAAGCGAATAAAGACGCGCTTAACATCATCAATGTCTAAATTCCACAACAACATCACTATATCCATGGAACACGACCTTGCAGACTCTTTTAACCACGAGGAAATAGTTGCACTTTTTAATTCAAAGCGGCTTGTTAATGTAATACCAGCGAGACCACCTGAAGGACGGCGTGTTGTAATGTTGGCCATACAAAAGTCTCCGGTATAAAGTCAGCTCTTTATAATATTCTTGGACTTTACTGAAAAACTTTACAGAGTGGCACTGTAGCTGTCCAAGGTACTGTATGATTTATATTATAGTATATAAATGCACTAATAAACAAGTCAACTGAATAAATGAATTACATAAATATGAATTCTTAATGTCGCTATTGCTTTTACTAAAAAATATCACTAGGTTTTTTAAAAATAAAATGAGCAATTTTCATCATTTCAGCTATTGGTCATTATATAATTCAGTTATACATAAGTTTGATATTTATAGGGGCATGTAACATGTTTCTGTGTTTTTGTTTTTTGTTCTCAGTGATCTTTAATATAGCTACGCAAATATTTTCTAAAACGTCAAGCAGGAATTAGTCTACAGCTTGTTAGTTAATTATAAAGACAAAATAATTAAAATGACAAAAATAAAACGATAAAAATAAAAAGATAAAAAAGCAGCATTTTTCTAAACATAATAGTCTTTATATGCTTTATATCCTGCTATATGTGTTGTTTTATATTCGTTTATTATTTCCCTTGCTGCATTCGTTATTTAATGTTTGAATACTAAAACAAATAACAGTCATCGCTTAAATGGTTATATTTTACCATCAAAATGTAGTATATTTCATATCATTATCAACTTTTGGTATAAAAACGCTGTGTAATTTACTTGATTGTTAAAAATGAAATAATGTAAGTGCTCTATTTTTTATTAGTGAAAGTGCCCGCTCACTTTTGACAAGGCCTGGCCAAAATGATATTTCTGCCACTATAATACAAATGCACTATTATTGTTGCCTTATTATTGTTTAATTTTCTTTTGTGTTCAGAGATTTAAAATATATTATTTATTTCCCCTCCAATCATTTTCAATCATCACGTTACATTTTGGTCATTTTCCCCTCCAAATAAAATTCGCCCAGAGCCGTGCAAAATATGACCTCTAAATAAATAAGGGTGCTGTGACCCGTACCTATATTTATCACCCCTATTTAATAGAGCGGCATAACAGTGCTCAGTCATATGCTTGCTTTCGCTTTTATGAACATATATAATAGCCAAAACTATTTTTTTATTTTTTATTAAACAAAGGGAGCCGTTTATATTGCGTTACCAAGGCAACTATAGATGTGTTTTGTGTAATGTTTCAAAGAGCTTTGTCGCAGCATGACAGTGGAAAATAAAACCGTATCCGTGCCGTCTGGCCCGGTTTGGCACGGAATGGAACGGTTCTGCTTAAAGAACGATTCAGCACGATAGTGGAAAAGTGGCTAAAGATAAGGCTGTGAAGAGTGGCTGAAGATTATTCCTGCAGAAATACCTCAGCATTATAGCCCCAGCCTGTGCTGTGTTCCCGTCATTAATCTGACGAGTGCTTCTGCAATATACACAACTAAGGCTGATTTATACTTCTGCATCAAGCGCACGTGTATGCTACAGCGCAGCCTACGAGTGGATGCATAGCCCTCGTCGTGGCCGTCTGCGTTGCTGACGCACACCTCTTGAAAAAACGACACGTAGCAAAGCTCTGTGATTGGTCGGCTTGGTAGCGCTGACGAGTGTGGGCGGGACCGAGAGCCGCGCAAGTCCATTGGAGCGAGTGTTTATAAGTGTGGAGTCCCGTGAAGGAGCTTCAGATGGAGACAGTTGTTTGGTGTTTACCTCATGATTAAAGTTGTTGCACGTCCGCCGGTTCCTGCCTCAAAATGAGCGAGTTTGAGCGTTTAGAAAAAACAAAACACCAGCGAAGAAACTCAACGCAGAAGAACAGAAACACCTCACTGCCCGCTGGAGAGGCCGTTTTCATTCTTAAGCGCTGCTGCTCTGTCTCAGTGTGGATAGGGGAAAACGGAGACATCTGAAAACGGAGGCAGAGCTGCTGAGATTCGCTAGCTGATTGGGGCTTTTGTGTCATTGCGTATTATTGTCACAGGCGTCATTGTGCAGTTATTCATTTGTTACGTTTAGTAACAACTCGACCTCGTCGTCTGTCCACAAAAATCCCTCTCTTGCTTTCTTAGCCATCGCGTTCATTGTTTAACCGGCGTTTGTTGACTAACAATAACCAAATGCAGAGCGAGACGCATGCTTCCTGTTTATACTAGAACACGATGCCCAGAGTGCGCGAATGTTCACGTGATAATACGTTTTTGGTGGCGTAGTGTTGACGGAGATATGTTCAGAAACGCCAGGTGAAGCGCTAGTGTGGACGCGGATCGTTTTTGATCTAAAACGCCATATTCAAACTAAAACGCACTAGTGTAAACGGAGCCTGAGACAGGAACTTTACAGTACACGGTTGATGGATCAGCTCCTTCCTCCATTTCACACGAGTTAATAAGTGTGATTCAAAAGGCTGCCTCCTTGTTTTCTCTAGCTTGCAAATTGTGTTTACCTGTGTGACTAGTAACCACTCCACGCTGCGCGTACTGTATCTCTTCATGTTCTCATATCGCGTCTAAAGCCATGTTGAACATGTGACGCGTGCTGCTTTGTTTACAGGTTTAAATGTGCTCGGGACCCTCTAACGTTTGTTGTTGCTATGGTCACCGTCAGCTGTTCCTACACACGTACAGCAGACAAGGTTCACAATAGTTCAGCTTTTGCCGCTGTGTGGGTCAACACTGAATGTGTGTCGCTGCTTTTACGTGTGGTGAAGAGTAGAGTATGCGGGAAATTACACGAGTTTTCCAGGAGGGTGGCGGGAGATGGGTGTGAAATACGGGAGACTCCTGGGAAAAACAGGAGTGTTGGCAGGTATGCTCACACACACACTCTGTGCTACTTCAATACTGTTGATAAGCCGTGGTGGGCGTTTCTCTGTCTCAAGCTGAACGCCGTTGACCAATCGCAACAGGCTGGGTCATCAGACCAGTCAGCGCAGATTAGCATCGCACTAAAGTGGGGTTTGGGAACAAATGAATGGCTGAATGATTCATGTGGGAGTCACTGGGATATTCATTCATTGCATTCATTGAAGGCTTCGTCCCTTTATTAATCCGGGGTCGCCACAGCAGAATGAACCACCAACTTCCATCCATCTGTGGGAAATGGGATAATCAGGTAAAAATAATGCAGATTATAAGACACTAGCTGCGTCCCAAATCACACACTTATGCACTATTCTACACCATTTTGCAGTATAAAGAGTGCAAGTAGCGCATTCACACTGAAAACTCTAATAATGTGCGCTTTAATGAGCCGGATGATGCACTCGTTCAGCCGGTAAACAGAAGTGTGTACTGATGGACACTTCACACACTCAACGACCGCAGCTTTCAGGCGCATATCGTTATTTATTTTGGATGGTGAAAGCAAAATTCTCCTACGAGAGTGATTATAGCGATGATTATAGCGCCTCCCGATGGTGAATGTGATTGTGCAGGTGTTATTTGATAGTCTGGTCATTTATTTCACTGATTTGGCGACCGTCATCAGAGAAACGGTTTGATTTTCCGCTTAGTAAAGAGCATTAGTGCTCCATTTGGGACGACACTGCATGCATGTACTGTACTGCTGAGTGTGTAAGGGCAGAAGTACATAGTGTGCCATTTGAGACGCAGCTAATGAAAGTGTTTTTGATCTTGTATACAGATCAGCCTATTGCTGGAGACCCCCAAAACCAAAATATGACCCTTTATGATGCATAATAGAGGCTCTTTACCCTGTCAAAAAGTCAGAGAATCAGAACTGACCATCGAGATCTGCAGAGTACATGCAGCCATCATTTCTGATAATCATTTAACTTGTGCACAAAACGCTTTTGATTATTTTTAATTGTTAGATGTTTGGACTAGATCTGGGTGTCCAAACTGGGTCCAGGAGGGCAGGTGTCCTGCAGATTCAGCTCTACCTTGCCTGAACACACCTGCAGGATGTGTCTAGAAAGCCCAGTGAGAGCTTGATTGTCTAGTCCAGGTGTGTCTGATTGGGGTTGGAGCTGAACTCTGCAGGACACCGGCCCTCCAGGACTGAGTTTGGACCTCTTTGGACTAGAACTAGATTAAACCTCTGTGTTTTGTTACAGTAATAGAGATGCTTGTGATTAATGCTGTTGTACTGATCCGCAGGCTTTCAGTCTCCAATCCTCCACGGTTTGTGTTCGTTTGGTTTCGCGGCGCGGCACGTCCTCAAGCAGTTCGCAGGAAACGACGTCTCCAGATTCAAGGCCATGAAGGTACAGTGGAGAGCAGAGCAGAGCAGAGCTCCCGTCCTCATGTCTGAATCACTGCTGCTCTCAACAACAACACATGTGGGCGGGGCTTGATCTGCTCCACAGGGCAATGATTGGATGGCTGTGGTTTGTGATTGGTGGATCTCACGTGAGTGACAGGTTGACCAATCAGAGAGGAGATGCGGCTGAAGAGGAAGTTATTGTGATTCAAGATGATGAAGAAACTGTTTTGCACCGATTACTCGTCAGGATGAACATGTTTCTGTCTCCAAATATTTCAAACTAGATTTAAATCAAGAAGCATTCTCTAGACAAGTAGGAATATAGTGTTCCTGTGAAAACAAGCAGAATAATCATAACTGCATGCGTGTATGAGTGTGTATATATGTGAATGTGTGTGTGCGTATTTACCACTTGTGTGTGTTTCAGGTGCGTTTCGTGAAGCCGGTCTATCCTGGTCAGTCTCTGCAGACGGAGATGTGGAAGGAGAACAGCAGAGTCCACATCCAGTGTACAGTGAGTTCAGATGATGATGATGATGATGATGATGACGAGCGTTTGCTCCACACAGATGAAGTGATGCAGTTCTGCTGTTTCAGGTGAAGGAAAGCGGAGCTGTTGTGCTGTCTGGAGCTTATATAGATCTACACCCTGCAGCATCTGTGAACACCGGCCCGCCACAGGCACGTACACACACACACACTTACACACACACACACACACACACTGATGCTGAAGGTGTGTTTGCTCCACAGACGGAGCTGCAGAGTGATCTGGTGTTCGCTGAGATCGAGCGCAGGATTAAAGACTCAGGAGAGGAGCTGGTGAAGAAGGTGAACGCAGTGTTCGGCTGGGAGATCACCACTGACGGAGAGACCCGCAGACACTGGAGTGAGTCAAACTGACAGTCACTGAGGGCATACTGAACTGAATCACATCAGGGTCCAGCTGAATCACATCAGTGTAGAACTGAATCACATCAGGGTCCAGCTGAATCACATCAGTTGAACTGAATCATATCAGTGTTGAACTGAATCACATCAGGGTCCAGCTGAATCACATCAGTGTTGAGCTGAATCACATCAGTGTTGAGCTGAATCACATCAGTGTTGAACTGAATCACATCAGTGTTGAACTGAATCACATCAGTGTTGAACTGAATCACATCAGGGTCCAGCTGAATCACATCAGTGTAGAACTGAATCACATCAGGGTCCAGCTGAATCACATCAGTTGAACTGAATCACATCAGGGTCCAGCTGAATCACATCAGTTGAACTGAATCATATCAGTGTTGAGCTGAATCATATCAGTCTCAAGCTGAATCACATCAGTGTTGAACTGAATCACATCAGTGTCAAACTGAATCACATCAGTGATTAGCTGAATCACATCAATGTAGAGCTAAATCAATATTGAATCACATCAGTGTTGAAGTTAATCACATCAGTGTTGAGCTGAATCACATCAGTGTTGAGCTGAATCACATCAGTGTTGAGCTGAATCACATCAGTGTTGAGCTGAATCACATCAGTGTTGAACTGAATCACATCAGTGTTGAGCTGAATCACATCAGTGTTGAACTGAATCACGTCAGTGTTGAACTGAATCACATATGTGTCGAGCTGAATCACATCAGTGTTGAACAGAATCACATCAGTGTTGAACTGAATCACATCAGTGTTGAGCTGAATCACATCAGTGTTGAACTGAATCACATCAGTGTTGAGCTGAATCACATCAGTGTTGAACTGAATCACATCAGTGTTGAGCTGAATCACATCAGTGTTGAACTGAATCACGTCAGTGTTGAACTGAATCAAGCTGTATTTTGGTTCAACATTGGAATGATTTAGTTCAACTGAGTCATGTCAGCATTGAGCTGAATCCACTTAATGTGAAGCTGAATCACATCAATTGAGCTCAATCAAATATATCTAAATCAAATTAATGTCAAGCTGAATCATATTGAGCTCAATCAAATCCAACAGAATATTGTTGTTGAGGAGAATCATATCAGTTATGAGCTCAGAGTCGAGCTGAGTCAATTCAGCATTGAGCTGAATCCAATAGGGCTGAATCATATCAGTGTTGAACTGAATCAACATTGGGTTGATGCGGGCTGCTCCACTGCTGAATGTGTGTGTGTGTGTGTGTGATACAGAATCTGCTGTGCATGTGTAGTGTTTTATTGTGCTGTTGTGTGTGTGTGTGTGTGTGTGTGTGTGTGTGTGTGTGTGTGTGTGTGTCAGCGGTGGACCTGAAGACGGGTCGGGGCTCAGTGCAGCGGGCCGCAGCTAAAGCAGATGTCACCTTCACCGTGTCGGATCAGGACTTCATGGAGGTGGTGATGGGGAAACTGAACCCACAGAAGGTGCAGCAGCTCTCACACACACACACACACACACGCACGCATATACACAAGTGTTTGATTCGGGACGCAGCCGCTGCTGTCGCTGACCCTGTGTCTCTCCTCAGGCCTTCTTCGCTGGTAAACTGAAGGTCAAGGGGAATATAATGCTGAGCCAGAAGCTGGAGGCCGTGCTGAAGGACCAGGCCCGACTCTGAGCTTCAGACGCAGACATCAGTCGGTCATTAAAGAGAGAAGCACACTGAAACATCACGCACTTCATTAAAACATGGCGCCGTTCTGTCTAACGCTCATAGTTTGAGGAACGCTGCCGTTTACTGACCTCCACAGTAGGAAAAGAAAACTCAATGGAAGTCCCTCAGCATTCTGCAAAGTATCTTCTTTTGTGTTCAATGAAGCTTAAAGGGTTTTTTAATGTAAATAATGATAGTATTAACATTTTGGGGTGAAAAATCTCTTTAATACTTTACTGATGTTGAACAGTTTATAAAGAGAGTCTAAATAGCATTAATAAAAAAACTATTAAATCAGTGGTGTTGCATCATTATTTCCTCACTCTTCACACTCATATGATTACATTCATTTAATCAATTACAACCCTAATGCACTTCCTTCTGTTAATCACTCGAAAGAAGATATTTAGAAGAATGATGATGTCAACACGACTTCCATAGTAGGAGGAAAATGCTACAGAAGTCACTCAGCATTCTTCAAACTATCTTTTTTTGTGTTCAACAAAATGGCTAAATGCAAGTACTGACAGTATTAAAGTTCTGGGGTGAACCATCTCTTTAATACTGTAGTGATATTGAGCAGATTTTATAGAGAGAGACTAAACATTATTAAAATAAAAATCTAATGTTGCATTGTTATTCATTCATTTTATTTTCAGCTTACTCCCTTTATTAAGCAGGGGTTGCCACAGCAGAATGAACCACCAACTCGTCCAGCATATGTTTTACACAGTGGATACCCTTCCAGCTGCAACCCATCTCTGGGAAACACCCATACACTAGGGTCAGTGTAGTTGATCAGTTCCCCTATAGCGCATGTGGTTTGGACTGTGGAGGAAACCCATGTCAATGCAGGGAGAACATGCAAACTCCACACAGCCCCGACTCAAACCAGAGACCTCCTTGCTTTTAGGCAACTGTGCTACCCACTGCACCACCGCGTCGCCCCATACTCAGACAATTCCTTCATTATCTCAGTTAAAACCTTAATGCACTTCTTTTGTCTGTTAACTATAAAAGAAGATATTTTGAAGAATGCTGGCAGCACTTCCATATTAGGGTAAAAATGCTCTAGAGGTAAATGAGAGCCAGCAATCAGCATTCTGCAAAATATCTTCTTTTTGTAGAGACATTATTAGAAGACATGGGATCAGCTTTCACTGCTATGCAGATGATCCTCAATTATATATTTCAGCCTGACGAGACGTCTGAACTGTCTAAGTTAACTGTGTATTAGAGATGTTCAAGACTGGATGACCAACAATTTCCTTCTCTTAAACTCAGAATTATTCTTTATTGGGCCTAAATAAAGTCATCTGAAAAAATATCGCTAAATTACGAAGTATGCTATCCATCTCAGATGCAGAAAAGCTAGTCCATGCTTTTATGACTTCGAGACTGGATTACTGTAATGCTCTATTTGCTGGCTGCTCAGCATCCTCTATTAACAAACTTCAGCTAGTGCAACATGCAGCAGCCAGAGTTCTGACCAGCTCTAGAAAATATGATCATATCAGCCCAATGTTCTCCTCCTCACACTGGCTGCCTGTTCAGTTTCATATTGAATTTAAAATATTACTCCTCACCTATAAAGCTCTAAATAATTGAGCTCCTGTTTATCGAACCAACCTTCTGTCTCGCTGCTGTTGTATAAAAATAAATGAGTGAAAAGAAGAGAGAACCCAGTCCAGGAGACTCGAAACAAGCAGAATTCCTTTATTGAGACGTGTTGGTTAATCTGCAGTCATACAGCGTCTTTAAGATGTCCATGTGTCTGCAGGAGCCTACTGGAGGTCCACAGTCTGCAAGTTCTATCAAGTCTCTCAAAAGTGTGAATTAAAACAAAGATGTCCTGTCTATATCGTCCTGTTAGGAGGAGGGGAGATGGCTAAACAAGCATGCAGATTCAGTATTGGAGTCAGCATGGCATAGGTGTTAAAAACCGGCCCAGCTACTGACCACACAAGTTAATCAACAAAAGGTTTCTGTAGCATAAAAGCAACATCTGAAGACCAAGACCGAGTCGTTTAAAGCATTTGCATCACTGGCTTAGCCTGTAGTCAGAAAGACAAAGGTTAAATGTCCCTCCTAGCTGGGTGTTAATGAAATGATGTAATTAAAAACAAAAGAATATAACTTTGCAGTTATACGTAGATTATTGTTCATTTGGAATTAGAGGATAGACATTTATATTTCCACACAACAATCCAGCTCGCTCTATAAGATCTCAAAACTCAGGGCTTCTGGTAATACCTAGAATAGCAAAGTCCACTAAAGGAGGTCGAGCCTTCTCCTTTATGGCTCCTACACTCTGGAATAGCCTTGCTGATAACGTCCGAGGCTCAGACACACTCGCTCAGTTCAACACTGGATTAAAGACCTATCTGTTTAGTAAAGCACACACTCAGTGCATCACCTAGCGGGTTCCACACAAGTTTCTACAGCTTGTTTATATACACTATGAACAGCAGCTACGCTAATTATTCTCTTTATTCTCCATTTCCACCTGGAGATACTCATCCCGAGACCCTCAGATTATGTGGAGTCACTGATTGGACCCAAGACCAGCGACGTGATGATCCCAAGGTGTCCATAATCCTGGACCAGGCCATATCCTGAGCTGCTGCTGCGCTGGTGGTCATGGAGGAGTGGAGAGCATGAGACTGATTCCAGTGATGCTCCAGGGACAGACGAGTCTTCACTGAGGCCATCTTCCAGCCTCCACCGCTGAGACTGCAGCTCTGCACAAGACTTTTGGCCAGTGGAGAAATTAAAATGGTCGTGTTGAACTGAGTCTGGTTCTCTCAAGAGTTTTATTCTTCACTTTTGTTAATTGGTGAAGTTTTTTCCTCTCCGCTGTTGCCACTGGCTTGCATGGTTTGGGATCTGTAGAGCTACTCACTGCTGGATTTGCTCTTCAGTGTTTGGACTCTCAGTAATGATTATTAAAGCACACTGAACTGAACTGAGCTGAACTGAACTTGAACACTGAACTACACTGTTTACATTCATGATGACCATTTATGTGAAGCTGCTTTGACAGAATCTACATTGTAAAAGCGCTATACAGATAAAGCTGAATTGAACTGAATTTTGTCTGTTCAAAAAACTTGAGTCTGGGTTTTAATGCTGATAGAATCATGCTCTAGAATAATGACGTGACCTGCACTTTAATACTGTACTGGTGCTGAACAGGACTGATGAAGATTGTTAATGAACAAAAATTATTAAAAAGGTGTTGCATTAATTAATTGATGTCCTCATTACTGACATGTCATTTGTGTGGACACAGTGGATGTTCTTTCATCTGCAACCCAGTACTGGGAAACACCTATACACACATTCTCTCTCACACACACACACACACTCATACACTACAGCCAGTTTAGTCGATCAGTTCCCCTATAGCGCATGTGTTTGGACTGTGGGGGAAACCCACGCCAACACGGGGAGAACATGCAAACTCCACACAGAAACACCAACTGACCCAGCCGAGACTCAAACCAGTGATCTTTTAGCTGTGAGGCCAAAGAGCTAAGCACTGAGCCACCGTGTCCCCCCAACTGTGCTGATGTTGAACAGAATCAATAGAGAGGGATTAAATGACAGAGTTTGCTTTAAGTTATTTATTTCCTCATGACAGCGCTGTAATTTACAGATCTCTTCATCCTCGTTATAAAATTAGACTGATTTGCGTATATATATTCACATTTGAGAGGTTAAAGGGCAGAAAGCACGATCACTACAGCGGATTCTTCATCATCATCATTATTATTATTATAATACGCTGATCATCATCATCATCATCAGAAAGGAGAACACCTGACCTTCATCAGATTAAAAGTCCTGGATTAACCAATGAGAGGCGATCGACAGCAGGTAAAAGCGTAAAAAAGGAAACCTGAAGAACGCTCCTAAAAACAAACATCTGATGATTATAAATATGCTTTATATATATATATATATAACACAGAATCATCTTCACGGAGTCCGCTGTTCATATTTACATCATGAAATAAAAGAATCTGATCTGAGGTCAGCGAGCGGCCCGCAGAAACACACGGCAGAAATATAAGGACACTTATTATCATCACTATATTGGAATCTAGAGCACGATCACAACACAGCAGTTTGGCTAGTTAAGGCTTCACACTTCACAACACACACGCAGCTGCTTACTCGGAGTTTCCTTCAAATATCTACAAATCCTGAAATCAAGAAGCATCTGCAGGACAGGAACACAATACAGCGCTGATTTCAGAAATACCCAGTCCTAATGAAGAGAGCTGATCATTAAAAGCTCTGCTTGTTTTGAGTGAGATCTCTTCATTTTGACTCAGTATCTCTGATTATAAATCAGTGCTGTGCTCTTCTTGATTTAAATCTCAGAGTAAGGAGCTCATTGTGCTGCAGTGTGTGACTGATGGATACGTGTGTGTGTGTTTATATGCAGATTTAAATAGGATGATGATGATGAGGTGTGCTTGTTGGGCGGGGCTACAGCAGGACCGCCTGTGATTGGCTGATCCATGTGTGTGTTTTGTCTGGTATTGCTCGCTCTACATGTGCAAAAGCCGTCCTGAATGTGTGCTACATGATGAACCTGACGTCGTTCCTGCCGCCGCTGCCGCTCAGAGCGTCTGGAAGCACACGCATCTTCATGGTCCCGTCGGCGCCGCAGGAGAACAGCTGATTGGCTGGAGCCGCTTCGATCTGCATCACGCCCGTGCCCAGGTTCCGGAAGAGCGACTGACGCGAGTGTTCATTGATGAAGCTGTGCAGGAGACTCTGTGTGTTCATGCTCCACACCTGACACACACACACACACACACACACACACACATTAATGCTGGTTATTCAGACAGCTGATATGCAGAGCTGATGAGGAAGGAGAAACTGATTACAGCCTGTGTAGTATTTGAGAAATGATGCACACACTGCAAATAAAAGATTCTGTCTTGTTTCCAACTCAAATATCAAACAACAAATAAATGAATCAAGGAGCATTTCAATAATACAAAACCTTTCTACAGTTCACCCTCAGCTGATGATTGAATATAAAGCGTGTTCATCATGCTGTCCCGGGAGAGAGCCCTGACCTCATTAGATCCTCGAGCCCTGGGCTCCCTCCCGTTGCAGGGAGAGAGGGGATTTTGAGCTCAGGTTGATCTCGATGGCTCCCCCTCCTGCTTATTGTAGCTAAGTGTCAGTTATGGATGCTGAGAAGAGGTAATCAGAGTTTGGCTGAAATATTTTGGATTAATTGTTTAGGGTGTTTGTTTTTGAACGGTGGGAGGAAACCGGAGGACCTGGGGAACACCCACTCGAGCAAGGGGAGAACGAGAAAAACTCCGCAGAGAAATGCCGCCTGGTTTGGAAGGGAATTAAAGCAGGGGCATTCTTACAGTGAGGCAACAGCGCTAATCACTGACCACCGTGCCGCCCGGTTGAAAGGAGGGAAAGTAGGGTTGGGTGGGGGGGTTTCTTCAAGACCAAGATATTGAGATGAGAAAACTCTGTGAGTTAAGGATCGTCTGATTGGATAAGTGGTCATGAGCTAATGCTGGAACAGCTGTGAACAATCATGAGCTCGTGATCCTCTTCAAATTAGTTTATCAATAAACTTCACAAATAATCTAGCTCTTGCTTTGAATCATGACTTCTCTTCCCTCATTGTCAGATGATTCTGCTTGTTTTAATGAGAAACTCTCTTCATTTTGACTCAATATTTCTCAAAACAAGACTATATGTGCTTCTTGTTGAGATAGTGCTTCTAGATTTCCGACTGTTTGGATATTTGGACTAGATACACATTTACTAGAGATGTCCAGATCTGATCACGTGCTTTCAGACTCGATCAGAATCAGATGTTACTTCCCGATCAGGGCTGCGTTTCTGAAAACCATCATTAGCCAACTAAGGTGACAATTTCCATCATTACAAACAGAGTTTGTTGATTTAGCGTTTCCCAAATCCGTCGTTCCAACGAACATTCGCAAACTGCGTCGCAAACTTGTGCACTTGCTGCTACACCTCTGGAGCTGTAGTTAGAAACAGATTTCCTGGCTGTGTTCTATTCCCACTTATCCCCCTATGCCCTATTCATGTAGAACATTCTAACATTTAGACTCGGAATGATTAAAAATAATAAAGCATTGAGCTCATCTCTCTTAGCTGTCATTTGCTTTCAAACTCTTTTTAGAGGTGTGAGCCTACACTGGTCTCACGGTTCCTATATGACTATCATGCCATGATTGGGTTCAATCGGATATGTCAGTGCATCACGGTGCATTGATGACGCTTTCCATACACAGTTTTATATTTTCTTCACAGCAGCAACTCTTGTATTAAAATGTTTAATTATATTCATATACTATTTACAATTGTGTCCTTTAATACAGTCAGATGTTGTTTAAAGGCACAGTCCGCCATTAAACAACACGAGCATTTATAGCAAATAAACAGATAGAAATGTCCCGCTCGCTTTCTGAGCCTCGTCTAGCAAGATCTTTCTTACACCCCTTTGATTGTCGTTTACATATATTTCGGTTAATATGGAGAGCGAGTGCATGCTTTTACTAAACTAATATTGATTGTATTTTAAATGTGTGTGTGTGTGTGTAAATCAATATCATCTGCACAGAGAAATGATGAGGTTCTTCTGTTCAGAAGCTGGTCCTTCGCCCCGTTTAGAGCATCATTATGGGCGTTTTACATTATAACTAACGTGGTTAGAGCGATGGATCTGCCACAGAGAAACTAGGGGTTTTGGGAAACACTCGTCACTACATCGCTCTTTTCACAAACGATGCATCGTGCTATGATAGTTCTGCCGCAAGTTACGTTGTTGTTTGGGAAACAGCCCTGGGGTCCGTTCTTCGTACGTGGATTACTCAGTTAGCTGGATTTGCATGTTGACGATTTGACATGATCCAGGATCGTTTCGTTCTTCAAAGCTGATCTGAGAGTTGTTGTCATAGCAACAGTTCTGCTAGATCAAACCTGATCGGGAGCAGTTCAATTCATATAAACAGGATTAGATCGGCTCAGTTAAGCAAAGAAAATACTGAAAGTATGTTCTGAATGCTGATATTTTCTTACATTAGTAGTTTTATACACTTGGGAAAATAGTAACTATTTTTAACTATATATATATAGTTATAGTTATTAACAAAATAAATAAAGTTATTTATATTAATAAAACTTATGCAATCTGCACCCCTGAAATGAAAGTACAAAGACTGCCACCTGCTGGTGCACAGAGAAAACTTACTGATATGAACTTTTCAGATCGCTTTAGTACAAATTGTGTATGATAGAAATGCACAATATGTGACTTTTTAAAGCAATAATACATTAATGCAGTCATAAACAGGTTTTGATAGTTAATATGACGGTGATTTGATGCTTCACAAAAGTTACAAACGCCTTTACCAATATGAAAATGCTTTTGTAAACATCCAGTTATTCTTTACACCGATTAAAAAACGGCAACTATAATAAAGAAAATCTTTTCTAAATGTGGAACTAAACACACTGATTTGCACTGAAATACATGATGAATACTCTCGACACATGAAAGTGTAAATCCTGCAGCTCACAACAAATGTAGAATGTTATTGCGTGTCGTATTTAACAAACCGTTTACTGCTAATTTGATGTAATTTTGCTCACATGGATAATTGAATATTAATCAGATGATGTCATTACGCTGCTGTGCCGTCAGCCAATCGCTGCATTGCTGATCATGATTTGGAGGATGGATAGATCTGTCCTTCACAACACACGCAGCGATCTCAGATCAGTTCATCCAGACATTCTAATCTGATTCGCGAACTTGTTTGAAGAACCAAATTAGCGAGAGATCAGTCATCAAGATGAACAGATCCAGGATCTGCCAAATCATCTTAGATCAGTTAAGCGAGGTACGAAGAACACTGGACTGGATTTATATATTCATTATTTTCAACAGGTCTGTAGTTTCGTGGTGGCGCAGAGTAGAGATGCGCGGTTGGCGGTTATAGCCGCGGACTCCGCGGATAAACCGCGGATCGGGCGGATGACGTTACGAAAAAATTATATTTTAATTAAATTCGGGCGGGTGGCGGGCGGTTGTACTGTTTTTATATACATAGCTGGCGCACCAACGAAAAAGCCTAGGACTGACTTCACAGAATGGGAGGAGGAATTGGATACACTAATTCTGGATGAAGTGTACAGAAGTATTCCTCTACAAACTTCCGTATAAACGGATATTCAGAGCAAAATCTACTTTCTTTTTGGGAGAAATAAGGCAGGCATTCCCACGACTACAGCACCTTTCCATGAGAATTCTATGCATTTCAGCAACAAGTGCTGCGAGCGAGCGCTCCTTCAGTGCAGCAGGGCGCATTATAGTGGCTATGCAGGCGCTCCCGTCTGAATCCTGACACAGATGCTATTTTATTCCTGCATTGTGCCAAGAAAAAAATCGAACTAGACCTAAGGTCAGGCATATTAAACCAATTAGCCTATGTTATTTAGGCTACACATATGTTCAATATAAACTTTTGAGTTCAGTCAGCTGATAATTTTACGTTCATATTGGTTTAGCCTATTCTATTCTATAGACATGTTGGCCTCGCTTTTACGTTCCGAGGCTAAGGTTATTTTGCCAGAATTTCTTTGTCGCAACTTTAATGGCGTAGTATTTCGTTATGCTTCAAGTTTGAGGGGAATGGGGATAATCCTAAATCTATGGGTTATTGGGGCACTTGTCATACATGCACTTTAGCCTGGTCAGACTATGTTCGCTCAAAGAGGGATGGCATATCTGTTTTTCTAATTTAATTTCTAATTGTGGGGGTGACTGAGCCTAGAAGGTTTAGGCACGATATGACGTTTTTATTAAAAAAATTTCAACTGTTTGCCAAAGCATGCGACTATAGCCTATGCCTACATTAAGATATTTATGTTAATATTTTTTTTTACTGCCTGTTGTTTCATTTGGCATATAAAATAGGTATTGTCTGATAGAGATATCAATAAAGGTTTATCTGTGTCGCAGAACTGTGTTGTTTCCGATTTCTACAAGCTCAATAACATCCACAGCAAAAAATAAATAAATAAAAAATAGTCAAAAAAACTGTGCCCATTAATTAGATGTGCAAGGCAAGCAGGTACGTTTTTGGGGTTGCTATGGACAACTACAAATGTAAACATTATTAGGCTATAATGTAAATGACTTATTATTCTATCTATTTACTAAAAAATAAAGTGAAATAGGCATTTATTAGTAGGCTAAATAGCAGCATGTTGAAATGATGTGTCAATGCGTTTTCTATTAGGCTACAAAAAAAAAAAAAAGTTGTACAGTACAGTGCGTTTAATTTAGGCTATTTATTTATTTTTGTCCCTGTGCGCCGATTGGAGACAGAGTTCACTGCTGATATTCTGAGAGCTCGGGTGCTTCTCATTTCTTATTTGTGCATCCTCGTTACCTTTCCTTGCTTTCTTTCCTCGTGTTTCCACTCCACCGGGATAACTTTACGAGGGAAGGACGCAAGGAAAAGACTGAAGGACCGAGGAATCGAATCAAGTGAAAAGACACGTCCTCTTATCTTTAGCGTAACTTCAAAGCATCGTCAATTAATGACTTGCACGTTTGGATTAACTGCATGTCTACATTAAAGTCATTCTCTATTATATAATGATTAATAAAGAAACATTCTTTTAATAAAAAAAGGAATAAGCCATTCAAATAAAGAGCTCAGTCAGCAGATGGCGGGCGGGTGCGGTTTTAAAAATTGGTCAAAAATGTTAGTGCGGATGGATGGCGGACGGATGATGAATTTCGTCATGCGGTTGCGGATGAAATAATAGCCCATCCGCGCATCTCTAGCGCAGAGTTAGAGCTCTGTCTTGTCTTCTCACAGAAACAGCAGGGCGTGTGGCGTGACATCACTGTGTTGCAGAGACGCTATCGGTTATACACAGTTAAAGTAGAACACAGAAGCAGCTTGAAGCAGAAAGCGTGAGCATGTCTGAGGTGTGGAGCTATAATAAAGCTGATGATGACAACATTGCCCAAGCAAACTGTGAGATATGTATGCTTGGGATCGCCTGCTGGATATTTGAAGCTGAGCTGCTGTTTGTTCACATATTAGATTATTATTATATTTACTGTTGCACTGAAGTCCAGAAGTGAAGAACTGATGCTATTTGATTGTTGAAGCTTCCTCACAGAAGTGCTCTGTGTGTTAACAGAGGTGTTGAATGTTAAAATAAAGTGGATGAAATAAAAAATAAGGATCATCCTGGATCTGTTTCTTCACTCTTCTTCAGTCTTTATGTATTATAGAGGTATTGGATCGGGTTTTGGGATAGGCAGATGCTCAAAATCAAATGACTCGGAATCGAGGTAAAAAAAAACCTGATCGGGACATCTCACACAAACACACATACATCCATAATTACACAAGTTAAACACAATCATTATACAGAATTAAACACACTGCCTATACTGCCCTTCACACTGCTACAGCTGAGCGGTCAGGCACTGTAGCTGTGGGTTATCTGACAATAACAGCACACCTCAGAAGACTAATACAGGGCACATTCACACTGTACAGTTGCCTTGAACCAACCCCTTGCCTGAGCCCGATTCAGAGCACTCAAAGGATCTGGGCAACGGGCCTGGGCACGGTTTAGATAGCCTAGTGTGAGTTCGCCCTCAGTTACTGAAGCAATAGTAGAGTCATGCAGTAATATAAAGGAGGTGCTGACCTTGATGTTGCCCTCCGCTGACCCGCTGATGAAGCAGCTCTCGCTGGAGTCCACCGCCAGAGCTTTGACTGGAGAATCGTGCGCCTGGAAACTCTGCCGCTGCAGCTTCACACTGAGATCCAGCAGAGTGATGAAGCCCCGCCGGCCCCCGCTCAACAACAGCTGCTGCTTACAGGCCAGAGCCAGAGCCGTGGAGCCCGAGTCATGACACACGAAGCCTGAGACACACACACACACACACCTGAGTCTGCTCGTGTGTTCTCTTCACTCTGATAATCTCCTGAATTACAGTAAATCTCCACTGAAAGCTGTTCACAGAATAACACAAGACCTGAAACTATTAATGAACCCAGTAAACTACACTGAACACACAGCTGAATCAACACAACAGCTGCTGTCGAAATGAGTGTGTGTGTGTGTGTGTGTGTGGAGGACTCACCATGGACCAGGCTGTAGGCTGGAGTGACCAGCGTGTCCCACAAACACACGTTCCTGAGACACAACAGAAGAGGAGCATCATGTTGATGAGCGTTCATAACTCTAATGTTGATCAGCGAGTGCTAGCGGTTATTCAATACAGCTCAGCTTCATGGATGAACACACTCAGGACAGCAGAAACAGCACGAGCGGAGCGCTCCACTGCAGACTGATGATCAGGACAGGAGATCTCTAGTGGACATCTGGAACATCTCAATACTGAGAGAACCACTGCTGAACACACGGAGCGTCCTGAGGGCTGTGTGTGTGTGTGAGATCTCCATCACCACTGTGGTGTGTGTGTGTGTGTGTGTGTGAGTTTGCTGCACTGCTATAGATGCTTTTCTTACACTGAGGTTTTTCTCTTGTTTCTAGTCCAAAGATCTTAAAATCTTTAAATCAAGAAGCATTTTCTAGACAAGCAAAATATAAAGTGTTGCTTTCAGAAATAAAATGCCAAAATGAAGAGAACAATAATTGTGTTTTTGACATGAGATTATTCTGCTTTCCCCATTGTCAGATTACTCTGCTTGTTTTAAGGAAAAACTCTCTTCATTTTAGCATTTTATTTCTGAAAGCAACACTTTATATTTTGCTCGTCTAGAAAATTCTTTTTTTTTTAATAATCTTTTTATTGTTTTTAGCATAAGAAATAATCAACAACATAAACAGAACAAAAAACTACATAAATAAATAAATAAGAGGGGGTTACAAAGGCCATTTCAAAATACACAAATAGTCAGACACAATATAATACAACATCATCCAGAAAGCATAAGGAAATAAATACAATTAAGCATGAAAAAAATATATAATTTACAGAGAAATGCATAGGCTCCATAATTCGACTTACTCCAGACCAATCTCACTTATAAAGAGTTACAAGTCCGCATTACTGATATAGAACATAACTGGGCTCCAGATTTTTAAAATGTGTTTAGTTTGTTTGTCACATTTCCTCCATGGGCAACACGAAACTTAAGCTCCTAACCCAAATTTCGAAGACAGGCACATAATCTGACTTCCAACTTTGTAAAATTATTTTCTTTGCTAATATCATACACAAAGATACTGCCTGTGATATATATTTATCTCCTATTTCTGAGGTGTCTCCAAAACTGCCCAATTTTGGATCTGGTGACAGACTTATCCTGTACACTTCAGATATAAAATTAAAAATGCTCTGCCAAAGTGAACTAGTTTTATGGCATGACCAGAGTGAGTGAGCCAGTGTACCCTGGTCTGGAAAATTCTAGTGATGAGTCGTTCATGAACAATTCATTCATTTTAAACGAATCATCAATAGGATTCAGGAACTACGAGTTCTCTCAGGGAGTGATTTGTTCATCCGCGCGTGCACACATCTGTGCAGGTGATATCGTTCATTTCAAGTCTTTTGAGTCGTTCATTGTGGAAAGGCAGAAGCCAATCATATGTGTTCAGAGCCGGAATAAGAATTTATCCGTTCATCTCGAGTCCTCTATCGGGTCTGAGTCATTCATTCATCACGAGCCAGTCATACGCATTTAGAGCCGGAAAAAGAATTGAAAGGTGAACTAATCATCATGGCTCCTATCCCATGACTAGGCCCACACGGAATCTGCGCGCACAGATTTCTGCAGATTTTTCACAGATTTTCCACAGAATTCTGCAGATTTTTAGCCAATTATAAATTCTGTTTATTTACTTGAGTAAATGTGTAAATCAGAATTTATTCAGTTTTTATTCAGTAATCTATTACTTTTTATTTAATATATTAAAATGTAAGTTATGATACTCCGCTGGATACTCTCAAAATTATTCCGCAGAAATCCGCAGATTTTTACCAAAATTCTCCACAGAAAAAGCAAAAAACATCTGCAGATTCTGTCTGGCCCTGCACATGACTCAGACTGTGTTCACTGGTTAAGATTATTAATTACAGTACTTACAGTATTCTATTTATGACTTATTTGTCATGTGATCAACCTTTTGGGCTAGTTGTAGATGTGTTTGGAAGCAATTCGTAGCATTTTAATATTATTTTGGCTAATTGAACCAAATGAACGAAATTACTCGAAAAAAGATTCGTTCATCTCGATGAACGCGACTCAAAGATCCGAGTCAGTAAAATGATCTGAACTTCCCATCACTAAAATTCTTCTTGATTTAAGGATTTTTAGATTTTTGGACTAAAAACAAGACAAAAAAAAAGGAAGAAAAATTTTTTTGCAGTGTGTGTGTGTGTGTGTGTGTGTGTGTGTGTGTGTGTGTGTGTGTGTGTGTGCGCGTGTATGTGTGTGTACCTGTTGTCAGTGGACAGGCCTGCGGTGGCGATGAGAGATGACGAGCCCACAAACACAAAGTCATTGGCTGTCTTATTGTGACACTGAAGCGTCTGGAGGAACAGGAGAGGAAGAGGAGGAAGAGGAGAATTAAAGCTTCTGCTTGCACAGAATAATACAGGACACACTATACATCCTGACAGCAAATCAACACTGAATATAACTCTGGCTGCTGGTGATTGGGTTGTTCTAGAGCTTCATGGTTTAACGGCTGCTTGTGACGCTGTGGACCAGGGAGCTCTGGCTGGGCTCAAGGGCATAACACTGCAACAGTTCAGGTCCTCATTAAAAGGCCGCACTCTGTGTTAGTTGTGATGGTGCCGTGTCCTCATGGGTTCCTCTCTCTTTTGGGGTTCTGCAGGGCTCCATTTTTAATCCTGTTCTCCTCATCTGCTTGGATGGCTTTTTATTTTTTAAGTTTTATTGAAAACTAAAGAGAAGTAATGGGTTTGCAGGTACTGTTGGGACTCCTCTGTTCAGTTTGGGTTCTTCAGCTCAGCATAATAAACCTACAGTCACTAATTTAGGGGTGAAATTTGACACTCACATTAGAGCGGTAGTTAAATCTAACTTTATTAACTTAAGACAATGAGCAAAAATAAAGCTATATATACCAAAACTACAGTCTGAGGCAGTGATCCATGCTTTCATGAGCACTCAGTTAGATCACTGTAATGCCCTGCATGTGGGGAGCAGCAGGTCAGCTATTGCCCGTTTGCAAATGCTGCAGCAGGCCTGTTAGCTGGTGCTCACACATGAGCACATTTCCCCCTGTGTTAGCGTTGCTTCTTCGGTTGCCAGATCATTTAAAATACAGTTTAAGATTCTTTTTTTTGTTGTTAAATCTCTAAATGGTCTTGCTGCACCTAATATCTCTGAGCTGATACACCTCTAAAAGCCCACTCGCTCTCTCAGATCAGCTTCTCCTGATTGTGCTCTTAAACTCTTTTGTTTTCATTGGCATTTGACACCTGATCTTAATACCTGATAATTTTATGTGCCTTTCTAGGTAGTTTAGCAGTATTTTATCTTGTATTTTATAGGCTGTTGTGCTTATTTTGTTGTGTATTTTCTGTACAGCACTTTGGCTCACTTCTGTGTTTGTAAAGTCTGACTTGACTATAGTGAGGACATTATGAAGAATACAAAAGAACAGAGTCAAACTGAAGTGTTTATGAATGAATATCACGCACGCACACGCACAAACACGCACACGCACACGCGCACACACACACACACACACACACACACACACACACACACACGTGCACACGCACACGCACATACACGCGCACGCACATACACGCGCACACACACGCGCACGCACACACGCACACACACACGCACGCACGCACACGCACGCACGCACACACACGCACGCACGCACACACACGCACGCACGCACGCACGCACGCACACACACACGCGCGCACACACACACACACGTGCACACGCACACACGCACGCACGCACAAACACGCGCACACACACGCGCACGCACACACGCGCGCACACACACGTGCACACACACGCGCACACACACATGCGCACACACACACACGCGCACACACACACACACACACACGTTTAAGAAACCTACCAGATAGGGTTTGGGTGCGTTTCCTGAGGTGCTGGTCTGCCAGAGACTGAGCGCTCCATCTCCATCCACAATCCCAAACTACAACACACACAGTCACACAGGTTTACCCTCTGAAACAACCCATTCTGGAGCATTTAGGAAAATCATCAGTCTCCAGGAATAGCTGTGACACACCTAAGACATTATAGAAGTGTGTGTCCTGGTATATCATAAATACATCAACACACACACACACACACACACACAGAAAATGTCCGCCATTGTGGCTTCAGATACGCACCTTGTTGCCCTGATAGTTGAAGCGTATGCGGGTGACGCGGGAGTTCCCGGGACTCCTGTAGCAGGTGATCTGCTGAGAGTGACCCCACTCAAACATGCGCACGCTGCCATCCTGCGCACCCGTCAGATCTGCGCACACACACACACACACACACACACACACACACACACACACACACACACACTCAATGGGTTTATAATACACACACACACACACACACACACACAATGGGTTTATAATACACACACACACACACACACACACACTTCATATCCAGTAATCCTGCACAGGTGCTTCTGCTGAACAGTCTGGCCATTATGAATATGAGCATGTGTTTGACAGCAGTGTTTTCAGGTTGCTGCAATAATAATGCTCTTCTTATCTAGAGTTCTTGTCTTTTCAACGTCAAATATCAAAATATTCCTAAAAGCATTTTCTACAAATAGCCTTGTTTTCAAAGATAATGAGTAAAATGAAGTGAGTTCGACACATCAAGTACGCTTAAACAAATCAGTCTATTTAAGTAATTATATTTTAATTAGATTACATGATCTATGATGTAAGAGAAATTAAAAACAGCCACTTAAACCTTTTAGGATTATTGTGTTGAAAAGACCTTGCCGTGCATAAAGCTATGATCATATAATTCTGTGCCAAGTGTTTGAACTGAAATATCAAATACAGCTTCAGCCAACAGAAATAACACACACTAAAAATACTGCACGAAAACAGCACGTCAGATCTGATCTGAAGAAGACCTGTTGTGCTTTTAGATCTGTTCGCTTCATTTCCTACTGACAATGCAGCAGCTTTCTGAACATTTCTCCATCCTCAGCTCGTCATTAATGATCTTGCATGCGCACAGTGCAGCGTGTATCTGCTGTGAGTGTGTGTGTGTGTGTGACGTACAGTAGGGCAGTGTGGGGTGTGACGTCATCCTCCTCACGTTGTTGATGTTGCGCTTGATGAGCTGTGAACACACACACAGTGTTTCTTTATTATTAATTGTGTTAATTATATCACACTTTCACAATAATAATACACAAGACACCTTCAGAAGATGAATAAAGAATTAAAGAAAAGAAAAAATATAGAGAAAATGGGGGGCTTAGATTATATATAAACCAGGACTAGCTTAGGTAGAACAGAAACACATTGCTAATCTTCCAGACAGTACTACAGTTACAGCATTATCTTTCACAATGATAGGGCAAAGACCAGGCTCCAGATAATCCAAACATGAAGCCCAAACTGTTGAGTTTTTAGTGTGATGCATGGGTGAAGACTGGTTTATTCTTCAGCGTGTCCCACAAGCTTTTATTGATTGTTCTGTTATGGCTGTTGATGCTTGTTGTAAGGCGACCTTGGATGTCTAGAAAGGCACCATTTACAAATAAAATGAATTATTATTACGATTATTTATCCTCCTACTGCTGTGTGTTGTTCTGCACTAACTAGTGAAGCACTAGCTGGCAGCAGGTTATTCTGTTCTGTTCCTCTGTGTTGAGTTTCTTCGCTGGTGTTTTGTTTTTTTAGCTCAAACTCGCCCCTTCAGAGGTGGGAACCGGCGGACATGGACCAGCTTTAATCATGAGGTAAACACAAAACAACAGATTCCCTCTGGAGCTCCTCCACTGGACTCCACACTTGTAAACACTTGCTCCTATGGGCTTCCGGCTCTCAGCTCTGTCCATGCTCGTCACATCTAAGTAGCCAACCAATCACATGCTTCATTGCGACGTGTACCTACATTATTTGAGAGGTGCATGTCAGCGTTGGCGAGAGCTATGCAACCGAACGAAGGCTGCGGTGTAACATACGCATGTGCTTGACAGAAGTATAACTCAGGGTGCGTTCACATCTGTAGTTCGCTTCATTTGGTCTGGACCAGGGGTAATAAATGATCATTGTTGCATCTTCTGCCGTCTTTAAGTCGTTTTCACACCACACTGCTGGCTTTGGTCCGAACCAGTTGAAACGAACCAAAATGCAGTCATCTGACAAAATCCACATCTCTCATTGGCCAGATGTTGTTGAGCATATTTCCTAAACTGCTTATTGATTGGTCAGAATTCACGTGCGGGAAAATGCCAATGAACTCCTGCAGGTAAACAAAACCTTTAACTCTGGAGGGACGACTGCGCTGGCTGATTGTATCCCTGCTTTAGACAAACTATACATTACGAAAATGAAGCGCGGCCGCGGCTGGAAAACAGTGTTTAATGCGTCGCTCGTCACTAAAGGAGGAGGCGTGAATTAATTTAGCTAAACTGCGACATGCTCATCTTGCGGAAATATTACCAACGATCCATCAGCTAATGTTTTCCCCCATATATCTATGGTTTTCCCCTCTCTCTCTCTCTCTCTCTGTTGGTAAAGCGCTGTCAACAAATATTTTACCTCCTTATCCCATAATGCACTGCTCATCGGCCTACGGCAGCTGGATTAGTCCAAAAGGCGCAGTACTTTTTGCGGTTGGACCTGTTTTAGTACGAATCATATTCTCACCACAAATGAGCCGCTCCAGGGTTCGTTTAAAAGCGTACCGAGACCACCTCTTCAAGCAGGTCTCAGTACGCTTATTTGGTCCGCTTTTGGTGCACACTCGAGTACGATTTCTGCATTCTCACCTGCCCAAACCAACCACACCAACAGGGGAAACCAACTCTAGTGCGATTCAATCAAACTAAATAAGGCAGGTGTGAAAGCACCCTCAGACACTCCAGGGGAATTAACTCCATAATATCCTGAGCCAACAGTTCAGTGAGGAAGATTCATCATCACTAATCCAGTTAAGTCACATATTTGTTGTGGTCAACAGCCCCTTTCACACATGCAGACTGTTGTGGAAAATCTCCAGAGAGAGCTCATGCGTGAACCGGCCCTTCTGGAAAACACAGGTAAATTCCTTCTACCAATCCTCCAGAAAGAGAACATTAATTATAGCTTTAATTTCTGTGTAAACATTGCAGTGTTGATTTTCTGAAATGCTGCAGGGAAAGAGCACACGTGTGCTTATAATACATTAATGTGAGACACCTATTCCAGCCAATCAGAACACTCAGATGACGCATTCACAAGTGTGTCAGCTAAACTGTTCTGCAGTTAGCACTTCTGCTTTCAGGGTTGTGCTATCGTCCAGTATTCTGGGACAGAAGCAGCTGAAAGCACATGGATGCTAACATTTTAGACAAAAGTAAAAGCATCAACAAAACGCCTGACCTCCTTCATGTTTACTGTAGTGTCTGGATGATTTAATGACATTAATTGTAGAAGACACAAAAACTTACTTGCATATTCCTATGCTTTGCTATTAGCAATGAGAAGAAACCTAAAAGACGACAGAGGCGCATTCAACAAAGTTCGAAGAAGACAAAGACGATGTATTGAAGTGGGTCAATTGTCTGCTGACCACTGAGGGAGAAATGGCCCAGATGACAACAATCGGAAACTGAATGAAGCCTGGAAGCGGTCTCTTCAGAAATACTCTTTGCCAACTACGAGCTATGACCTTGGAGGACTAGACTCTGGAAGGCTGCCCTAATGCTGTTGAAAATAGCTTTCATCTATTTATTTATTTATTATTTTATTTATTTATTTTCATTTATTTTATTTATTTATTTTTCATTTATTTGCTTTTATTCAGGTGTATCATATTAGAGAGAGAACAGAAAGAGATTTCCTCCATGTGGTAAGATATCCTCAAGTATATCAAACTTTGATTACTATTATTTGACATCAGGACATTTTCGAGACTCGTCTCATATCCACAGATATAAATGTTTTGGCCTGATGGAATCTGTAGGAATGGCCTGTCTGAATGCTGCGGGGATAGTTGTGTAGTGCGCGTGTTTCTAGTTTTCGTCTAATTCCAGTAACTGATTTCGTGATGTGTGTAAATGAGTTGACATGCTCAAATATTACCGCTAAAATAGCTTACAGTCATAGCATAGTGTTTTTTATCCACCACTCTCTTCCCATCACCCTCATAACTTACAGGGAAACCAAAGTGCTCCCAGACGCCAGAGGATTACATCAACGTTACAGCCATTCTGCAATGAGCTAGAGCAGCGTGTGCCTGACTGCAGCAGTGTTTGTTTGGAGGTGGGTGGGGAAGTCAGCATTGCCGGTCTCATCATTTGGGATGCCTTGATGAGCATTATTGCACTGAAAACATTATATTTTCTACACTTTATTCTCTTCTATCTTTTTAGATATTAGTCTGAATCGTTCGGTTTGTTATGTGTACCGAACCCAAAGTCTCGTACCGAACTGTTCAATACGAATACTCGTACTGTTACACCCTTAATTAAAGCGGATGTGTGCATGATGCTGTCTGGAAAAACTGCAGAACATCTGTGCCTGTGTGAAGAGCAGTTTTCTGGTCATACCGGCGGTTCTGGATATTTACCGGCATCAGTGTGTGAAAGAGACTAAATGTGCGAGGCTGGGCTTTTCCTTACTTATGGAGTGCATTAATTATCAGCAATGCTGTTTCTCTGGATTGTTTTAAGAAGCTTCTTAAGACGCATCTTTCTAGCGAATCATTTCATCTGTGATCATCACTGCCACCATCATGCCACTGTGCTCATTTCTGGTGTTATTAATCAGTGCGGTGCGACTTTTGGCTCGTTACTGGGGTTTTAAGAAAGCTTGTAACTCTCTGCATCATTTGCTGTAGGATGTTGTGTAATGCTCTGAGTTTAAGAAAAGGACATCATCAATACACTGTATTATAATTAATGAGTGTTGCTGCTCACCACAGCGGCTCCTCTGCCCGTCTGCAGGCCGCCCAGCCAGGGCATGTTGATGGGGGTCCCGGGACTGCTGTGTGTGTACGGCGTGGTGCCGTGCAGAGTGTTGAAGTCGTCACGAGCGTGAACCACCAGGAAATCATCAGTCCTGTCACACACACACACACACACACACACACACACACACACTTGTACAGTTATCTTCATGGTCTCTCCCTACAGCTGTAGTGATGTGTGTAGTGGTGTGTAGTGGTGTGTAGTGGTGTGTGTAGTCATGTGTGTAGTGGTGTGTGTAGTGGTGTGTGTAGTCATGTGTGTAGTGGTGTGTGTAGTGATGTGTGTAGTGATGTGTGTAGTGGTGTGTGTAGTGGTGTGTGTAGTGATGTGTGTAGTGGTGTGTAGTGATTTGTGTAGTGGTGTGTGTAGTGATGTGTGTAGTGGTGTGTGTAGTGATGTGTGTAGTGGTGTGTGTAGTGATGTGTGTAGTGATGTGTGTAGTGGTGAGTAGTCGTGTGTGTAGTGGTGTGTGTAGTGGTGTGTGTAGTGATGTGTGTAGTGGTGTGTGTAGTGGTGTGTGTAGTGATGTGTGTAGTGGTGTGTGTAGTGGTGTGTGTAGTGGTGTGTGTAGTGGTGTGTGTAGTGATGTGTGTAGTGATGTGTGTAGTGGTGTGTGTAGTGGTGTGTGTAGTGGAGACTGTATATGTGTCTGGTCTAGAGAATGTTTCTTGATTATAAGATTTTAAGATCTTGGGACTAGTAACAAGAGAAAAACCTCAGTGTATGAAAAGCATCTATAGCAGGGCAGCAAACTCACACACACACACACACACACACCACAGTGGTGATGGAGATCTCACACACACACACAGCCCTCAGGACGCTCCGTGTGTTCAGCAGTGGTTCTCTCAGTATTGAGATGTTCCAGATGTCCACTAGAGATCTCCTGTCCTGATCATCAGTCTGCAGTGGAGCGCTCCGCTCGTGCTGTTTCTGCTGTCCTGAGTGTGTTCATCCATGAAGCTGAGCTGTATTGAATAACCGCTAGGCACTCGGTGATCAACATTAGAGTTATGAACGCTCATC